TGAGTGCGCCATCTATCTCTTGTCGTACGAAATGATTCTTGCGACGCGAAGCCTCTGAGACGGCAAGTGTTCTTGTTCCATTGCGAGCTGTACTAGGTTCGTGTGACGTCAAAAATATCTAAACTATGATGTTCCTGTTGTCTTCAAAGTAGCCAGGCCGTCAAAAGTGTCAGGAGTAAGCTTATCAAATCTTGTAGGGAGCCCCTTTCATATTGCGTGCTGGCAAGTTTCCGTCAGCGTAGAATTTCGGAAACCATGACCCCGTAGTATTACTCGCTTCCGTGAGATGGCTCTACTACACCGTTTGAACGGATGTGCTTTTCTATCTTCCCATCGAATACTTAGTCGAGTGTCCACTTGGTGGTGCGACCTACAACTTGGGATCACCTCAACACGACGAACTCGCTTATGAGGTGTCAGTTTTAAGTCAGTGTAAAGTTCACCATCGCATCAAACGACAACAATAAGCAATAATAGAAAGACGATGAAGGAAGATACACGAATAGCAAGGCGGATGCAGCCTATTCTTGAGTGGTAGGCGTACTGAGTAATAGGAAATAAACAAAGTCCTTTCAAACTACGTGTAGATGTCCTCAAGCGATTTTTTTTTTGTCTTGTAAATATAAATACTCACACATTATATATCAAAGCTGTGTTCTGTTGCTGGATTTTTTTTACGTATCGGACTGTGGAACCTCCGCATGTTCGCGTGAAAATCTGTGCCTGTATTTCTTCATTTTTTTATATAGTAGTTCGTTTGTACCAGCCGTATTTCTTGTTTTGTTTTCAAGTTCGCAGATTTTAGGGTGCACAGCATGGCCAGCTGTAACATGTTTAGAACGCTCGCGCTCAATGGATGATGATATTAGATATGTTTTGTGTTTTCTTTATCTTGTTGTTCGAGCAACTTGATGATGATAGTGACGCGAGCAAAAACTACATGTAGCATAACCAACTGCTGAGTATTAGTTTTTTTTCTTTATTTGTACCAATCAAGTGGAAATGAGTAGCCGTCACCAAGTGACGGTGACAAAAACTCTTTCGTTTATTTTCTATTTCAAAAAAAGAAAAAAAATTCGCACGTGTTAAAGAGAAATCTTCATCCCTTTGTTAGTCGAGCGCATTGATGATGATATAAAGAGCGGACATTCTAGCTGTTGCTAGGGAAACACAGCACAAACCACGTCAAAGAGGAAGCGGGCGAGAAAATAATAGACAGAAAGGCAAAAAAGAAGAAAGATAGAAATAGATAGATAGATAGCTCAAGACCGAAGCAATGAATATTATAGCAAGCGTCGGACTGTTACACTAAGTAAGATTGATTGATTTGTGGGGGTTTAACGTCCCAAAACCACCATATGATTATGAGAGACGCCGTAGTGGAGGGCTCCGGAAATTTCGACCACCTGGGGTTCTTTAACCCCAAATCTGAGCACACGGGCCTACAACATTTCCGCCTCCATCGGAAATGCAGCCGCCGCAGCCGGGATTCGAACCCGCGCCTTGCGGGTCAGCAGCCGAGTACCTTAGCCACTAGACCACCGTGGCGGGGCGTTACACTAAGTAAGGTTAGGATATTTAGGTATCATACAAAACATAGTGAGCACGCTCAAATATGCATTGAGTTGCAGAGTTCCTCGCACAGCCCAGCAGCCCGTTCTTCCTGCGTGTGGGCCCATATTGGAGCCCACCTTGCTTCAGTACGATTGAACTTCCGTCGGAGCTGTTCCGCAGGTGTTCGTAAGGCACGCGAGGGCATCACAAAGGCCGAGCTACATGCAGCGTTTTTACCGGCGTCTGTCCGGCGTTTCCTTGTTGGCGTCGTTCGCCGTCGACGATACCGATCACGGCAGCGAAAAGCACAGTTCCAGTGCGCTTCACCTAAACGTCAACCTCGATTTGTCCCAGACATTGCAGTGTGGGCGTCGATGTTGGAAGCAGATGGATGGTGGGAGAAGCCTGCTTGCTTGTTTGTACCTTAATATATGGCTCCCACCCACCACGGGAGTTGGCCAGGAAAGTAGTGGTTAATAAAAATAGTTTTTTTAATGGATTAGGCAGAACTAGGAGCTTGATTTTTCGTGCTGGATAACTACAAGCGAGACATAGAAGTTTTGTTGAAGAATGTTTCTTTTAGGTGCATTGACAGTTAGTCATTGCTGAATGGCGTATATATATATATATATATATATATATATATATATATATATATATATATATATATAGCTCACCGTTCACGGAGATTGGGGAATAAACAAAAGACAAAACCTCAAAGAGCAAAGAAGGCGGCCCAGCTCTACAATTCCTTCAAGTTTGGCACCACTGCAAGGAAGCTGCCTTAGTAATAGGTGATACTGCCAAAATTTTTTATTCAAAACCAAACTGACGTACCGGTATCAGTGGTCCCTTAAAGGCGCCCTGCAACGCCAGTGAATCATTTCGTTTACAACGCTTCTTCTGGAGCTGTGGGATGCACCAGCGTTATTGCTAAATTAGCATTGTGAAAATAAACGACAATAAAGTTTAAATTCGACGAAGCAAGCACACTAGTTTTAGAGTAGAGCGACACACAAAGGCCACTTTTTAGATCCGAAATGACGTTTCACCACGTGGGAGGGGCGAGATAGGCCTAACGTTTCAATTGGTTTGACATGAGAAGTCGTATGTGTAAACTAGCGCCCACGATATTGAGCGCATGCATCAAATGAAATGGAAGGCAGTAAATGTGCATGTGGACCTAGTTTGAACCAGTTCATCTTGTGAATTTCTGCCAGGTAATAAAGGAAGTAAAGAAAGGGAAAGCCAACACACGCTGAGGCGTAAACTTGTACTTTGTTTCATTTCAAGCATGCAAGGCGTCTGTAGAAGCAAGGAATAAACGAAAAAATGAGAAAATGAGGACTCAGTTAAGGTATACGATAGTCAAACAAGGAGTAGTGGTCTTTAAGCAAAAAAATTATTTGTAAGCACACATTTCCCGGTGAAAAGTAGTCATTAAATAAGTCTTGTCTGCCCACTAGCAAATTTCAAGAAGTGGACGGATGGTGCTTTTGCGAAAACGTTACCATTTTAACGTAAAATCGCAAATAATGTGATTTTGTCAAAAGTCCGAGACATTCCAAAACAGTAACAAATCTAAATATTTGCGCCAGCTATAGATTTCTCCTTCTTAAAGAAGGGCAGAAAACGGAGTATGCACAAAGGCTCGGACACACAAATACAGCATTGAATATTGAAGAATGGGCTGACCAACGTTTGAACTACGTTATGAAGTTTGGAACTGTGGCCGAGTCGGTAAAACGTCCCGCTATAAACAGTTGTGTTGAGAAAAGAGGAAGCCACAATGTTATATGCGGGTAAGGAAGCTAAAGCGCTCAACTCCATTCATCATTTCCATTCATGAGCTGCAGTAGTGCGCAGACCAAGTTATAAACAATGACTACTGTGCCATGCCGGTAGATGAGTGCATGTGGTGTGCAGTTGGCGGTTCGAATCCCAGTACTAGGATTGCTGGCACACCAGCAAGTAATCCAGACACCCCTGCCAAAACTCAAATGTACTTGCTGCAAGAAATATGTGAAACTGAGCAGAATGTATTGCGGATAACATTACTGGTGGAGCTTACAGGCCTACAACTACGGCGTCCTTTATTAGAAAATGAGGTCATTTGTTTTCACAAAAATTGGGGATCCGGGCAACAGCGGCATGTGCTGGAAGGCCCAAGCGTTTCATGCCAGCAAGTTTCCACGAGATGGTGGGGAAACTTGGTGGCAAAAACACTCTGACAATGTCAAGCGTTTTGCTGGAAACAAATACCACCAAAAAAAGAGAGTGTGCATGCATTGCGGGCCTACTATACAATTCATTTATGTAGAAAGTAAAGCCGACTGATAGCTGAATATTTTGTAATTTATTAACGCGCTGATAAACAATAATTGCTGAAACTCACACAAAATGACACAACCTTTCATTTTCCTTGTTGGAATGTAATACTCAAGGCCTTGCAGTCACACCATGTGAATTTGACACATTTGAAGACAGACCCTGCATCATAATTCGAGCCTGAACGCAAGATTCTGGCAGTCAGCTTACCTTTGGAGGCCCGTATTCACCAAAGCGATTTCACTGTATAATCGCTCATGAGCGCAAATGATTCACCGTCCCGGCATATTGCTCCAGAAAGCCGCAGGCCACTGACAAAGAGCAATTACGGACGAAAGGCCTTGTCAACTCGTCTCCACATTATTGTGATTGCGGGAACGTTTTCTTTTTAATAAATGCAACCAGAAATATCACCATCCAATTACTCTGTAAAGCATGTAGGCACATTAACATAAGCTGACGGAATTCTTTGTTTTTCATTAAAGAGCGCTCTTCCTTTCTCGAAACTGAAAAGTGCGAGCTCAGTCTACACGACTGCGTTCATTCCGATCGTTCATTGCAGTCTGCGTGTTTCACGAGGTCACAAACACGTTTTACTCAGCTTTAGCACAATGTTCCTGCTGGCCGCACACTCACACCATCCCTACATTTTCAGTGGACCATCGTCGAGAAGTGGGCATCGCCAAATTTCTTTGGGAAATACGCGCAAAAAATTCTCGCGTAAAATACAACGGCCGAATTTCGTCTAACCATATGCAGCATCGCTACAGAATGTCCCCCTACCCCTATAACACGAACTTAACCACAATTTTTTTTCTAGCTGAACTGCTCAACGATTTCGCAATAATTTGTTAGCTGCTAGGTTGTGACATTGGTATGTACGCTCATTTGTAAAAATTAAGATCAAGTCCTCAACTTAATGGCAGCATAATGAACACTGTATTCGCCATGGCACGTGAAGTAGCATTAAGGGCCCATACTCATGAACATGACTAACATATGAGCCCAGGCAACAATAAGACCACAGTGATTTTCCTTAAGCGAGTTCTTTGATTGGGCACAACCGTAAAAAAAAAAAAAACGCCCCCATTGGGTAAATAACTGAGTCATAGAGTACATTTTGGTGCATTTCATTCATTTTATTAACTATCATCGTACTTTATTCAGTGTTCATTGTACATAGGAAATTGATAGAAAATATTACGGTTCATTTACAGTGAGGCACCCAGATATTTCGTCGGCCTTTCTCGCTGCCTTTCATTTTTAAAGGATTAAGTGACATAATAAAAACACAACAGTAGGTCACGCTCAAACTCACAACTCTTCATTCTTGAAAACCTATATTGCGAAAATATGTAAATCCACTTGAAGTACGGTCGCTACTACAGGAAATAAATAAGCAGGAGTGTACAAAAAGCACGCGCAACCGAGAACACGAGATGAAACTAGCGCCTCTGACTAGTTTATGACTTGGCTTAATAATTGTTCAACAGGCGCAAGGATGTCACACTTCGTGCCTATATGTCAAATGCGGGTTTTACAAGTCTTGAAACACAGATAGAAAACAATGCACGTTCTTTATTTGTTTATAAGAGGTCAAATTAGATGCGATGAACACGTAAATCCTGCCAAACCGATCACAAGTAGAGAAACGCTGCCCTGAGGACATCGCGCGAATAACATATTGTTCAAGATGTTCCGTTTAGCTACAGCAACGCTGGTGAAACGGAGTTCAGTATCGCAATGCACTCCTAATATTATCATCATTTTCGCGTATGCAATGACGGAATATGTTTCTGAGCATGGCCTAAGCAAACAGATTACACCTCCTGCGTTCAAGCGAAAGCTAAAGTGACAGAAATATTTAAAGAAAAGTTACGAAAGGCTGCTATCATCAGATTGGTGTAGTCTCTTAAAATACCTGTCATACGCTTTCGCACTCGAGTTAAGTTCACCGAAGGTTGCCAAATAAAGCATCGTTAACGCTTCGGTCTGTGTATGTAAAAAGTTAGTGCGGGGGTTTAACGGCCATACTTCCCGTTTGGCTGATGAGGGATTTTTAATATTCGCTCGCTAACATCTCCGTTCTTTGGCTTTAAATCCTCCTCCCCCTTTAATATTCGCTCCCGCTCTTTTCTCTAGGCATTTTTCCACAGGTAAGCTGCAGGCAAGCATTACTAATGCTAAACCTGCGTCACAGCTAACTGCATTTGCTGAGACGACGTCTGTTTTTATGCGGAAGCCTAGCCTGCGCATCACTGAAAGGATGATATCAGATATTTTTCACACTTTGGGCTAGCTCAGGTTCTTCGGTCGCAGGAAGCTGATGAAGCTGATGGTTCCGCAATATTTTAACATGAAGATTGCGCATACTAGTGGCCACGAAATGTATGAAATGTCTCTGTAAAGCAGTAATCGTGCGAAAGTATGCAACCATCTTAAAAAAAAACTGAATAAACTTAAAAGCCGAGTAAGCCAAACATCCGTTGTAAAGCAAAAAACGGGAAACAAAAACGAGGCCCGCCGCGCAACATACTTCTAACCATCTTATAAACAAGTATAATGCTCCATATTTATGCACAAAAAGCATACAACAAATAAATATCTAGGGCATAAAATTACATATTCTTTGGTGTAACAGCCATTATGTCCACTGTACAAGGAAAAAAAAGAACACATCTAGTATGGCTCTTAACAGCCGGCACTGTCATTTCATTGTACAAAGGAACAAATACTTCCGGCAGCCTGCCTCAAGACAAGGCTCGTGACAACACACACACACACAGTGAGGTCAGGCAATGTACAAACTAGGACAGCAATAATTTCGCTTTCCGCTGTGTTTTAAAAGACTGCACGTACCCATGGCACCCGCGAACAACGTGAATTGCAAGCAAGTGAAACAAAAAAAAAAACTCACGAAGCCCTCATCTGCGAACACTCGGTGAATAGTATCTCTCACAACAACAACATTGGGCAATCATGGCTCTGTCTCCCTTGAAAATCACACACAACCAAGAAAACAACACATATTCAAAGATACTTGGAGAAAAGTACCAAAGCATCTGGAGACAAAGTGAGAAAACACAGAGTACTCGCATTATCACGCGACACGAACACGGAGTGGCTCTTTCAACGCCAAATTTTGAATTATGCTTGGTAAGCAGTTTCTAGTTTACCGGTATTCCCTACATTGATTTTCATTCATAAACAAATTCAAAAGCAGATCCCATGACAAGGTTTTTCGTTCTCTCCTTTCCATGTTCATTTTCTCATCACTATCATATAGTGAAATTCAATTTAAGTAGCTAGTACAATTGATATGATAGAGTGCCCGTAGAAAGCGTGTGCGCTAACGCATACACGTGAGTTTACGAGAGTCGTTTCAGGTAAAGCGATTCCGCAGAAAGAAAACAACATGATGCACCGATCTGCCAGCATGAAAATAAAATGAACAAAAATGAGAAGCAACGTTCTTAACACAGATTCACAAGGGCAGCGCTACAGTCTGCAGCACGCACACGCTCGATTCACAGCGAAAGAAAACACAGAGTTTGGGAAACCCGCGCACAGCAGTACGAGGAAAACAAGAGACGCACCTATCATCGCACGTTCAACGAAATATTATTACAAGTCCCCCTCAGTATCTGCAGAGTTCTTTCATGTCGATCGTGTATCCATTTTCAGAGTTTAGTTTTGTCCAGTGACGTATTTTACTCCGTCACCACTCACGCTTGCCCCACAAGGCGTTGTAGCTCGTCAAATCACCGACTCTTCGTGAAATATATTTGCTTCTCCTTTATACACAGATGACTCTCAGCAAAGCGCGCTTGCAGTTATCGTGTTGCCAACGTGTAACATCTGTTGCATGTGCCTTTGGAGTGTACGTGTAGCACGAGTTATTTTTCTCTTCGTCGCCACGAGGAACCCAATGCGTCACTGGTCGACATAACGTTGTAGTAGTGTGCGTGTGTCCGTTCAAGGGAGGCGTCAGGACGGGCGTGTCAATGGGGGAAGCTGCTGCGTCGGAGTCGGGGGCGGCCGTTGGTCTCTCCCTGGGCGTTGTGCGCCACACTTAATCCGGGCGCGATGCAGCTGGAGTGTCGATGGTGGGCTCGGCGTGGCCAACGCATCCGACGAAGCGTAGTAGAAGCGAAACAAATACAAAAAGAGAGCACACGGTGATCACAGAACAACCCAGTGCCGTATTCGCGAGAAGCGAGACGTGCAAGCCACACGAACGCGGAGCCGATCACGACGTGGTCTGATGGAATACTCCGCTGCGACTATCCGTGCTGGGAAGTCTCGGCTGGCGGCGGGCACTTTAACGCGGCACGTTTCTGTCAAGCTGTCTCTCGCGGTTCTTCACTAGTTCCTGTCTTTATTTGCTGTCTGGCTATTTTTTTTTTCATTACTTTCCGCTATACTAGCGTCATTTGGAACACACGCTTCGAGCTTCGAACGAAGGCGAGAACGAAGGGGGGTTTAGCTGCTCTGAGTAAACGGCGAGCAGACGCTGACGCGAGTCTTCTGGGCCGGGATGCGTTGGATAGAAGGGAGCTGAATGTGATGGGCGAAAAGCCAGGCTGCGTGAGAAAGAGGAGGGGTCGGTCGTTGGATGCACTTCCACGGCGCCACTGTTTGCAAGTGAGAGGCGAAGGAAGGGATAATCGAGGGGTGAGGCCCCCCGCCGTGGGAATTACCACCGGAGCCAGCCAATTTGCCCAGCGCGGCGTTTCGTAATTTAGAATTCGAAAAACCCCGGGAGAGTATGGCGAGTGTGGAGGGTGAAGAGCGGAACGCCCAGTCAAGCTACACCAGCCTCTCAGTTACCGCTGTCCCAAGCAGGGGCTGGGATGTCTAGTTTGGTTAAGAACGCCGGAGCGGGTCGGAGCTTGCGCAGACGCTGCCAACGTAAGCCTGTGCGAGACACTTGCGAAAGTGGATCGCTGGCCCGGTAATCGCGTTGCTGGTGCAGCGACCTGGCAAGCAATCTTTGTCCGGGCCAACGCCAAACAGAGGTATATATTTAGAGATTGCTTAGCGAAAATATAAAATTGACTACCCCGAATGAACACTTAGGCTGAAAGTCAACGATAGGTGCGCTGCATTGCAGTTCTCAGAATAATCATAATGTTTCACGGTTTCACACGTCAATTCTAGATACAATATGCGGATGATGTATGTCGCAGTATCAGGTTTTTTAGCAGGCTTATAGTTAGACTAGAGGTGCGTCTCAGACTGAGCTCTGCAACCCCGTCCACCAGTCCATAAAATTCCTCAAATTTTTCGGTTACATTGTGCATCAATTGTGTGACGGAGTACATAATGTACATAACGCAGTATTGGCTTACTCCTTCTGATCGAATTTCAGCTCTCTTTTCTCCAGCATCATCATCCACAGAGGCATTTGTTGAAATTTTTTCTCTCTTTAGTCCTTCTAAACCTCCACTACACAACAACCGCCTAAAACCTCCCCATACTGACATGACATCTCGCTCTATCACTTATGCATGGTTCATGAAAGTGCCCTGTTGCTTTCTCAGAGAGCGCCAATACCGGCAGCCGAGCGTTCACTCGCTACGTTAGCGTACATTGCACGGAATATCGCATCGACCCAGTCGATGACGCGAAAAAAAACACAAGCACAAACCAAGAGACGACGGGCGAAACGAAGACGGAATATTTACACGACGGTTCGCGCGCCAGCTATGACTCATCAATAGTACGCCGCCGCCGGCAAGCTGCCGTGCCGAGAGAAGGTTATCACCGCCGCCAGGCGTCGGGCCACCGAGGTAAGAAGGCGTGCGCCTCTTTAGCTTCCTGCCAGCAGCAGATGGCGATCTACTCGATGAACACCGCCTGTTGAGCTCCCTCGAGCAGGAGGCGGAGGTGCTGTCATCGAAGCGATGGCCGGACGTGTTCGGAGTCTCGAAGACCACCCGACGGTAGAACGAGACCGAGACTGCCTCGCCCTCAGGCGAACGCAGAGACAGGCGCAGAATATCACTTGCAAGCCGCTTCGCTAGGGTGGTAAGTGGAGTCCTAGCAGATCGCTTTTGCTTTCTCGAAAAGTCCTAACGATAGCGATAGCTTTTGCTGTCATTCGGAGACACCAAAAGCCTAATCCAGATGGTTCTGTTAGAAAAGACGCCGAATCAGTTTATGTGATGGAACGTTCCCAAAAGCATCAAGAAATGTTGCAAGAAAAAAAAAAGCCCAGAAAGTCTAGACATTTTGAAGCAAAAATACTGGATGAAGACCTCCACACCGTAAAATAAAGCAATTGAATTATATTTTGGAGTTTCAGAGATTCTGCGCCATTTTGCTTTTTAGTCCGAGTGCACTTCGATCGTGACGTGGGCTTGAGGATGTCCTCGCGAAGTACTGATGTGTGTTACTCGGATGCCTCCTAACTCAAGTTCTATCGCAGACTCCGCGCGATATTCCGAGGCCTGTCTGCCCTGACATTCTCGGCCTCACTGCAGTGGAAATCCCGTGACGGCATCAAGCTGCTGTAGCGGCTCGGCGGCGCGGTTGGTGCTGGGAGCAGCAGTTGCTCAGTCGCCTGACTTGGCGCCACTGCGGCCTGCCTTCTTGCGGGCCTTGGGCGGCACTTGGGGCTGTGGCGGCGGAGGGCCGGCGCCTCCCTTTGGGGGCAATGGGGGCTTGACCAGGCGAGGGTCCGGCATCCGGCCAGCTTTCACATCCTCGTACATGTCAGCGTACAGGAGCTCGTCATTGATATCGGGCCTGTAAGGCTGCGCAAGTGAGAAGGAAAAAACGCGGAGAAAAAAGGGAGCTAGCGTAAGCTTTCGTAAGCAACGTGAGCACTTACTTGAAAGACGTGGTTCAAGGTTAGAGCTGAGAATAAAAAAAAGAAGAGACAGCAAGAATGTCGCTCCTTGTTTCTTCTCAGTTCTAAGCTTGCGCGGCGTCGTTCAAGTGGCGATGCACTAATGGGCCCAACATAACGTATTGTTAAGCATAAGCAGCCCACGTTAATTGATTCTAAGCACTGAACTTTGCAGTAGCTTTACAGTTTTCGTGGTTGGTACATTGTACTTGCACTGCATGAATTTTCGCAAACCTCCCTTAATGCTACATACAATAATTGTGATAGACAAGTAAGATATGACTGACACATGTTTATACAGTTAGTTAAGACATGAATGCGCATTCTACGCTATTTACGAATTGAAACAGCACTACGCTTTCTGCATAGTGCGCCACATTGCTGCACCTTCACCAATGTTGAGCTATGCTATGCTATATTATAAAGATTTCGGCCGATTCTCCTCGTCACTACGCGTAATCATGATGGCTGGTTAAAATTACACGCCAATTTTTAATTCTTTATAGTAATCTCCAACATAGCTACTAGTCTTTCACAACAGAGGATGGCTAATCAGTCAATCGAAACGTATTTTGCTAGCTTCATATTATCAATCACAGATGCGTTTCTATGGTAAAATTTGCTTTGACAAGTGCGCAAGTAACAACACAGTGAAGTTTTCAAAATGTATCTCAGAAAAATGCGACATTTATCTCGATATATCAGCATTTTTTAGTACTAATCCAAAAAGTACACATTTTTTTCTTGCATTGCCGATGCCTACACTCACAACAAATAAACACACTGGAATATGCGGACCTACTAGCACTGTCTTACGCTGCTCTGGCAGAACTAACGCCATCAGAGCCTCTGACAAACGCAGACCACTTACCGGCCGCTGCGTTGTCTAGCGTTTGGTGGAATTTGAGCGTGGCGTACTCCGTGGGACCGCCTTCCCTTCTAGAGGACAGGACTGCCGCTTTGTGCGAGTTGTTGAGCAACGCGAGGTCTGCGTACACGACCCCTTCACGGTGGTTAGTGCGCAGAAGTTGCACCTGTGGCCGGTGCCGTGCCGGAAGCGCAGGTACCAGCGGGCGGCAGGACAGTTATGCGTCGGGCAGGGAGGGAAGGGAGAAACACCAACAGAAGCATGCAGTTAGCGAGCAGTAACATGCCAGCAAAACTCAACAGCGACAAACATTTGAACTGTTATGATATTAGTGTCACTTTGCGTCGCAAAGTGTTCTCTGGGGACGTGAGGACGTAGTAATATAAGCACAATTAATACACCATCAGTTAGAATAAATACTGGTGATTAGATGTACTTGCAGTTGGTCATCGTCACCGGTGAAGACGATCTGAAAAAAAAAATCGCGAGTGTCTTCTTCCTCTAGTAACGGCGGGGGCATAGCCAGGGGGTGCCACACCGGGCACGAGCCCCCGTTTCTCCGAAGTTTTTTTTTTTTTTTTCGTCATGGCAGAGAAAGTGAACAATAGCCATTTTAAGGGGGTGCCTTTCCCGAAATCAAAGAGTTGCTCCCCCCCCCCCGAAAAAAATTCTGGCTATGCGCCTGATTAAGGACATCGTAAAATGGCTAATAATTCATGAAAGATTGAAGGTGCATGATGCAGAGATTGTTTATGAACCACGTACACATGACATTACGTGAAGAAACATAACTGTTGGGGGTGATAGGGATTAACACATACGTAATGATAATTATAAGGCATAATAGTGTTGAGTACACTGTGACAGAAGGCACAAAAGTGCCCGTAAAACGACAGAGGAGGGGTACAACAACCCAAATCAAACATTATCTATCAGATCTACACGAAAAAAGACCATTAAATTGATGTAAGCTTATCTTGTCACCTCAACCTGCTCGTGCTTATATCATACTTGAGCTTTTTCTTTTTTGAAAAGCAAGAATAAAAAGCTTAGAGACCCTCAGAGCCGCATTGAGTTGGAAGGTGACCAAGCTCTTTTTTTTACTTCCGACGGGATCTACTTCAACCTCACCATTTACTACCGTTGGACACGTGTGTAGCACCTCATTACTGGACGCCATTGTCGCGGTATTTTCCCCTAGGAGCTTCCCATAAATACAGTGCAGAGAACTCCACGCTAGGCCAATGTTCAGCAGTTACATTTCAACACATCAAACCTTCAGGTTCACCAATTTAAGTCGTTTCACGAAGTTGACAACGGTCCGCTTTTTTTTTTATTGGAGACAAAACTTGAACACAGCAATAAACAATGCCATAGGTCCGCTCGAAGCCTGGAAGCACGAAGAGTAGACAACGTTGTGCACTACCTATCATTCCTGTGGTGGCTGAACGATCGCAGTGCCAGTCAGAGTCCCCTCTAGTAAAGGAAACTTTGCGATTTTCTCGTTTCAAAAGAAGTTGTTACCGGTTCCGGAAGCAACGGCCTTTGAAACCGAAAATACCGTGCTTCGTTGCTTCTGCTTCCGGTAACAACAAAGCACGAGCGAGATTTTTTGCCTACTTTTGCTTTCCACTGCAAATGTTATGAAAAACACGCTCTGTGAGATGAACTAAGATGGTACACCCTAAATGCGGTATAACGCAAGAAGTCGTATAGAATTCCTTCAGCGCGTGAGGCCTTCACAGTGAAAGTTTGAGCAGTAATAGCAAGACAAATAATAGAACGAAGCATGAAATGAGAGGTTATTTATGCAACGAAACGAACAAATGACCGTACTTCGTGAAAATTCAAAGTTGCCAGAAGATCCGCACCAGAAAAAAAAAAGCACAGGAAGAAGAGCACGCATTTCCACAGTCCCGAATGTCGAAAGATTGTATCCAGGAAACAAGAAAAATTGGAAATGATAAAAAGACCAGTGCCATCCACAGTTCAGTGAAGTGAAGTGTCACCGGCCTCTTGGAGAGGAATGGGCCAGAAGAGAGTAGAGGAAGGCAGAGAGAGAGATAAAGAAGAGGGAGACAGACGCGTCCCCGAGTGTGTGCGCGCACGCGTGCTGGGTGGCGACTGACCTTCGGCGTCGACGAGAGCGGCAAGTCTCCACCGTCGCTTGCGTCCTCGTCGCGAAGGGCCGCTCTCGGGTAGTGGTGGTACTGTTGCTGCATCATCATGGGCGAGTGCGCTCTGCTCGACGGCAGCCCGTAACCAGGGACGCCATCGGCGCCGTTGCGATAGCCGTTGCGCGATTCCGTCCTCATGGGAGTCGCCGAGCGCCGACCCAGGGATCCGACGGGAGTCGAGACGTGACTGCCCGGCTTTGTGCTCTTCGGCCGCGGCGGCGGCAGTCCTACGCCGTTGATGCTCGCGTGCACGGGGTCTGGGAAGGCTCGCGCCGGTGCCATCACGTTCACGTAGTGCGTCGGCTGCCGTCGCTCGTCCCTCTGGCACGGCGGAGGCGTCGCAGTTGAGGACGACGTCGGCTTGAGGCCCTTGCAGCTGCCTAGCGACGGCGCGTCCGAGGCGGACGTGGTTACCGTCGACTCGGACGTGACTGTCGACGCCGTTGAGGGACACTGTTTTTGGTGCGGGAGGTACACGTGCCGGGAGAGGGTGGGTTAATGAAGAAACGCAAGACTGGACACACAAGACGTATGCAAACACTGACGGGCTATTAGGGAAGCGTGTCGCTTTTTGCAACAGCGTGAGTTTGGGGAAAGAAAACGAGTGCTTGCACTGCTTTGGAATGTAAACGGGAAGGGCACTAAAGATTCAAACAGGCTCTGGCAAATGACGAGGACATAGGTGGAAGCGCACGCTGTGTGGGTTAACAAGCTCCTCGGTTATTAACCTTGAATAATAGACCTGTGTTGATGGGTAAAAGTCATTGTACCTCAATAACATCTTTACGGTTTGAAATGCAATTTCCTGATGAGTAGTCAAGCTGAAAGCTGCATTTAAAACACAACACTAGTACTGACTAAAAAAAAGCGAGAAGGACTGAGTACTTTGTGTTAGATTTTTTCATTACACCGCATTACTCTATATGCCAAATATCATTAACCTCCGGCATTCAAATCCTAATACACAACTTACCAGTCGCAAATAATGATTTCCAGCGATAACTTTTTCGGTTTCTTCATACTACCGTACAAACAGTCGTGAAAATTCTCACTAACTCAACACGGTGTTTTTTTTTTTTTTTGTCGAGTTGTCGCTGACTCAAGAACCAGAACGAGCGCGACGAATGACTTCAAGTTAGCGAGCGTATTTGGAAGCTTGCATTATTCTGGGCCTGTTCGGAACATTAGTCGCTGTCAACGCACAAGCAGCCACTCCACTACGGTTGGTTAGAAGGTCACAGAGAGTCGTGCTTACTGTCGAGCCGCTGCGGAAACCCGACAGAGGAGCTCTAACGCTGGGAAAAAACAATTAGCGCAAAGCGCTGCGACCTAGGGGCCGGAAACTGCAAAGCGGGAGGGGTTTGTTTCTTCTTCCTTTGCGCAGTCACGGACTGAGAAAGAAGGGAGAGATAAAAGGCTAACTCACTGCGTTTACGCTATAGCTTGTCACCGCCAGTTTTGCTAGCGTTAGCGGGTGGGCAAAGCTCATTAGCGGCGCCGCCTGTTGGCCGCCCAACGTCAATTGCCCTCAAGGCGCTCGGCTTGTGAGCTTTTTTTTTTTTTCTATCTGAGCGCGCACGTGGCTGATGAAGAAAATTGTGTGGTTGAAGACCACTGGTATAAGACCACTGTAAATGTTAAATTTGGTGCGTGTCATGCCCTTACCCCCTTGGAATTCCTCTGAGGGTGGAAAGGCATGTTCTCGTACGTGGCCCTGTTCTCAGGCTCGTTGTTCGCCATCGATGGGGGCCCGTTTTCCGTCTTGCCTTCGACGTTCTGGTACACCGGTTCGGCTCCAGCCTTTGACTTTGCCTTCACCGGGCTGTTGAGATCTGCGAAAGCAAGGAGGTGCGACGGCATGCTTTATTTTATTATCACTTTTATTACTTTTTGCTATCGTAGGTTAGAAGAAGCTGCTGTCACTACGCCCCATTGAAAACCACTGCGTCCACTCAACAACGACCTCTTTATCATCTGCTGGAACCAGTGCAACGACGTTCCACGTCTCAGTGTAGCACCCGTATCGCCACTTCAGCGGCTCTCTGAGCCACAAGATCCACAGATTTGTTGACTTATTTTTGTATTCCCTTCAGGTGTCGTGTGTACCATTGTACACATGAACTTCGAAGGCTCATCTCGCACCGCGTGTTTCTTCAAACGGCTTGAAGACCAATGGGTACATTCGTGCAATCTTTCTGACTAGACATCTAACAGCTAATTAACTTCATTGTGCTGCGTATTGTTTCAAACAATCATTTTCTTGGAGACACTACTACGTTCGACGATCGTGTGATGTACCACCTTCCAGGAGCTTTCAAGAATTTTTTTTAAGTAAGTACAATCAAAAACTAACTGTGCACGCATTTCGGGCCTAATATACAATTTTTATGAACGAATTGAAGCTAACTGATGGCCGGATAATACGATACTCAATTAGGCAACAGACTAATCAACTATAATTACTAAAACTGGTACAAAATGACACATTCCTTCATTTTCTTTCATTGGAATACAATACCTCGAAATGAACACTTCTGCGAGTCGTGCGATGCCAATTTGACGCATTTGCAGGCATAGCACCACAATTCGTACTGGAAGGGGTATACAGCGCAGGCACGCTGATTCAAACTGCCGCTTTTCTGAGTTAGAGTAGAAACGCCTCATCCATTCGGCTATCGCAACGGCACAAGCGTCGCAAACACTCGATTGCCTTTTGACACAAACATGATTGATTGATTGATTTGTGGGGTTTAACGTCCCAAAACCACCATATGATTATGAGAGACGCCGTAGTGGAGGGCTCCGGAAATTTTGACCACCTGGGGTACTTTAACGTGCACCCAAATCTGAGCACACGGGCCTCGACATTTCCGCTTTTGACACAAACAGAACCAAATGAATTTTACAGAAAATTAGGCCAAGGGCTTTTTTATAGGTACAACAATTTTTATCTTTAACCATAGTGTAATAATTACGACGTAAATTTAAGGGAATTGGGGTAAACTGAAAACGCATATAATCGGTGAGATCCGAGCCTAAAAAATTTGAATTAAGCCTCCAATGTTGTACCTATCAGCCAGGCATCTGACTTAAACAAGGACGATTGGACATGCCCTTGCATTTTGAATGCAGCACTATCAAAAGCATGTCCAATACATCGCGTCACTTCACTGCCCAAGACGAGGTCGTTTGTGTTAGTACCGCGAAGAGACTCTAAAAAAGAGTGAAATGATTAAAACAAGCAGTGCTTCCTGTATCGTACAAAGAAGAAGTCAAATCGCATGTATATTTTCACAATGCGCGCACCAAAGCTGTTCTGCGTGAAAAAAAAAAAAATAAATACTACTCAGTTAGATCGGAGTGTCCGCACAGCCAGTACGTTCCTCACCTGAGACGGTTCTTCTTTTCCGTCTGGCCTCGTCAACTCGCTTGAATGCAATCACTGTGTGCAGAGGGAGTGGTGGTGCCATGGTGAGACGGCATGCCAGGCGTGCGTGTTACAGGGCAGGGTACGAAGTGAGAAGGAGAGGATTACGTCATACCGGGAACGGAAAGGAAGAGGCAACATTTAACATAGGACCCAAGCTTAGTGATCTTGGCATGGGTTGCGAGTGGGAAACGCGAGCGCTGACATCGTCTTTTCTAAGTAATTCTGTTATTCTGCATTAACGTAAACAATAAGCTTTTCAAATGCCAGCAATTTTTGTTACATTTACGTACCATACTCAAAGAACGAAAGGCGACAGGTAAACGTTAAAATAAACAGCCCGTTTGGGAAATTATGTGTGGCTGTGATATGTTACACTGCTATGTATCTGCGGCTGCACTGACCGAACTTTTAGGGCTAGCTGTTCGCTGCTGTTGGTCGGTCGGCAGGCATATGGTGAAATTATTATCTGGGGTTTTAGATCGCGAAACCCCAGATATGGAGGGCTTCGGTTCTTTAAGGCGCACTGACATTGCACAGTGCAACCACGGCCACGTCTGTGTAGAGCACGCGAACAGCCGGTTTTTGACCTGCGGGGCGACAGAAACCTTGGGGCAGTATCAGGCTCTGACGTGGTCAGGCTGACAACTAAGGCCGTGCATGCTCCTGATACACCATCTCAGAGCCCGAAACCGCCTCAAGGTTCTGGCCTGCAGAGCAACATCCGGCTGCTCGAGCGCTCTACACAGACGTGGCCGCGGCTGTACATGGGCCTCTACCATTTCCGTGTCTACCACTTCGCCTCCACCGAAATGCAACCGCCGCCGCCAGGATCGAACCCGCGACCTTCAGGCCAGCAGCCGAGTACATTAGCCACAGATCCACCGTGGCGGACAAGCATTCGCTGAGTATTAGCACTCGTCGAAATTCGTAATTATCAGCAAAGCGAAATACGTAACAATCGCGGTGCTGGACATATTGTTAATGGAGGCTGCCAGCTGAAAGCAGCGATCACGAATCGTTTGTGAGAAAAGCATTCCGCATTCTGACTCTGAGTCCAGGCCCTTGTCGTTGTCTGATCGCTTTTGTTAACCGTATACCTAATATTGCCACTAGCTTAGTTTTCTATTTAATTAGATTACTTTTCTCTTGAGACAATTCTATCTTGAGATGCTTTTAAGAACGCATGACCTAATCACTATATATGCAACGGACTTTGACTGAATTCTAAGTCCAAAAAATTTACCAATCTCACTTCAACTCTATACAAAGGTAGTGAAGTTATGCACATTAATTAGTGCTTCGTACAAGCCTTTTGTTCAAAAGTTATAGTTCCCCTCCTGAGTTTCATGCCATGATCACTGATGTAAAAACACTGTGAAAAGTATTTGTAGCTGCAGAAAAGCCGTTACATACAGGCGGGTTTCATGCAGATTAATGGAAAGGCAGCGAAGCAAATCAGGCATTATTACAGCTGCGGGTATTAGTGAACCATTTGCGCACACAAAGGGATCAATGAGTGAGGAAGTCAAATCGGTGGTTATTCTCTAAAATATTTTCCAAGTGTTTATGAACATGACCATCATGCACCATACTTAATGCTGCAGTCAATATCGCGTAATAAAGACATTCAGCTGTACTGGTATACTTCCTGTGCGGGATGGCATGGCGTACACAATCATACGCAGTCTGGGCCACTTACGTCCGCCAACTAGAGCACAAACGCTAAAGTTTTCACCAGAATATCATAAAAACCAACAAATGTTCATTTGTTTGGAGTACGGTTTGTGGTAGTTGAAAGAAAATTGCACTTTGCATGCACTGCTGATGCAGCTCGACAGAGACGTGCGCAAAGCATTGTGTCCAGAAACGTACAAGGATTTCGCACTGATAACGCCTTATGAATCATTTTAAGGTGCACAAAGAACAATGTTAAGGACATCTACCTGAGTTTCCTGTGATATCAGTGGTGCTACCGTTCTGCAGATAAGGTGGGTGGAAGTCAGCCTTGTGGATGCTCAAATCTTCGCTCAGGCTTAGGCGTCCTTCCGGTCTAAGGTAGAAATTAGCGTCAGCAAAAAAAAAGTGTCCTTAACTTATTCCTAACTTCGTTTTATGTTGTAAGTTTACTCGAGTTTCAGTAGACGACAAGTACCTCAAGTACATTACGATCTATACCATTTTTTGCCATTTTAATAAGATATAAACATTTACTGTCATTTTTGCCACAATTTTAAGCATACTGTCCCTACATATGCAAGATATTCTGTGTGCTGCTCATGTATGCCAATATATATTTGAAAGCTGCCCAAGTTCTATTGGATGTCAGTTGGTTAATTGGTGTAGTCGCTTTAAGTGGACTTCGTTAAAAGAGCTGAACATAGCACAAAAATAGCACAGAAAAAGCATGCGAAATGAGATTAACTACCAATTGAACTATCAGCAAGTGGTTATGAGGTAGTATGATCAGCAAATCCAGATATCAACAAAAACGAATGAGTAAAGTAAATGTCAATGTATTGTGATTGAAATTAATACATTTCAAGCGAACATGTTTTACTGCAGTTAATGATTTTGAGGCAGGATTACCAGCGCCACGAAAGCAATTTGCTCGTGCAAGCCATGCAACAACACAAAAAAGCCCGGGATTATAAGTGAACAATATTGGGGAAGGAGTGGTCATAACTTCTTTGGAAAAATTAATAAAAAATTTATAGCAAAGTAGCTAAATGTACTTACGTTTGTCGATCTTCAATTGCTTCTTTCGGTCCAGCTGTAATAAGCACACAACATCTGACTCCAAAATGTGACTTACCGTGGATAAACCACTGGGTTGTCTTGTTACTGAGCAAAATGAGATATTGAGTTCACGCAGAACAGCTTTGGTTTCGCCATCTAAACTCTACACAGTAAAGTTATTTGCCGGTCAACCAGATTTGACGCTTTGTAGCCTTGTACAATAACTGAACCATCGCAAGATATGCTTTCCAAGAATGCAATAATAATAAAAAAACATGAACATGCCAAGCCAGGGAACTCCGGTGGCGTTTGCAATGACACGGGCACTGTGAAGAAGCCACGTTGTTAGACTAAGCAGCAGCTCAAATAAATTCCATAGAACATCATCAAGCATCGGGCATTTGTCACGCTAGACCTCTGTTCCAATATTTTTCAAATTTTCAGTCAGAAAAGTTAATTGAAGCTCGATTATTCGCGAAAGCGTTTACAAGACTTAGTCAAATATAAAGGTTTAGTCAGCGTGCAGATGCAAACTCCATGCAGAGCAATGTGCTTACCTCTCCGCCGCTTTCTCTTCATTATAAGCACCAGAACAACGATGATAATAATGAATATTAAAACGATAAGTCCCGCGATGCCCGTAATCATCATAACTTGCTCATCGTCCAGGTATACATGGTTGTAGGCATCTGCAAGAAACGGGAAATATCTTATTTGTAGGAACCAGATTCATCAGCAAGCTGTCAGTCATTTCACTTTCCATCAAAACCTAAAACAGGGTCTTGGTTTAATAGTGTACTGACCATATTATCATTATTATTTCAATTAAAGCTAAACTTTCCTGTACTTGTGTCTGATTCCACCCTTCACCAACCTTACACCCAGATAGTCTGCAACTACAGGCTATAAATGATAATGTGAACTGTTTTATATTCTCTTCTCATGCTAGTGCATTTTACGTGTATTTATTTGTGCATGCGGGTCTGTTAGGTTTTTATGTTATTTTGTTCTGTTTTTTTTTAATCTTCGACCACAGTTTACGCCAGAAGTGGCATTGCAAGACCGTAACTGGCGCAACACTTGCATTGAGCATGATTAAACTCTTTTCTCGGTTCCTTGCTATTATATTTAACAGTGACAGTACCCAGATTAATAATTTTATATTAACACACCAGGAACCATACGTTCATGTGTTCATACTTCACGAGACTCGTAAACACGAACACATCGGTTTTTACACAAAGTTTTTAAAATAAATTTGTTTTGATTTTGAGCTATACGGAAGTTGGAGAGTTGCTGTCACACGCCCTCAGTCTTCGCTCCAATTGCAAAGGTTTCCTTTCTTTTGGCATACGCGCATCACTAAAAGCAAGTTTCCTGTAGAAATGAATTCGTGCTAATCACATGAAAGGAAAGCGAGTGTTTGAAAACCGAACAGTAACCAAACTTATGACACATTCTGACGATGACGCTATTTCTGCGGACTCCTTTTAAGGGCGAAATTTCTTAGGGTGTGGTCTGCCCATCCTCCGTATGTACGGAGTAGTACGTAGCCACCGGTGGCACATACCCACTCTAGAGCGGGTAAGTGCCACAGGGGATGCGAGATGGGAGATGGCGGTGCTTGGAGTGTTCACTAGATGGACGCACTAACGGACGCACAGACGGACGCACGAACGGACGCACAGACGGACGGACGTACAAACTAGCAGACAGACGGATGGATGAATGGACGCGCGGAGCGGGTATGGCCACAGGAGATGCGAGATGGCTATACTTGGAGTGTTCACTAGATGAACGCACGGATGGACGCATGGACGAACAGACAGACAGATTAGCAGACGGACGAATGGATGGACACAGGAACGAACGGACAGACGAATGGACGGGCTCGCGGGCGGACGCACAGACAGACGGACGAACGTTTGGATGGAGTCATGGATGGTCGCGCGGACGGAAGTAAGAAATAACGGAAGCACAGACGGGCTGATGGACGCTTCGCCCATTCATCATCATTCACTCCATGGATATGCTGTGATTTTTTTAAACACTGAAGCTGTTTAACGTAGCTGTAATGTGTTCAACTATATCTCGAAAACATCTCGAGGCTCCGTTGCCTAGCAACCGCTAGCTTCGCACAGCTGGTGCGACGTCATGCCATGCCGAGTGTGCCCTACTCTTTCGGGACGAGGAAATATAGGAAAATAGAAGCAAAGAAAAAGATAAGAAACGTGAAAACTAACCAAGCAACACAAACAGCTTTATAAATAAGTTGTAAAATGTTGCGGTTTTTCTTTCCGACACCACCATATAATTATGAAGGACGCCGTCTGGGATCATCTGGGATTCCTTAACGTTTCAATAAACGAGCCTTCATTGTCTCGCCTCTATTGATATGCAACCGCCGCAGCCGGTACTCAATCACGCAGCCTTCGGGTCAGCAATCGAGCATAGTGACGGGTGTATACATAAAAATTTGTATAGGCCAAATTGGTTTTGTTCCTGAATGGTGATACGCAAAAGGTAAAGCTTACCGCCGGGACCATTCACTCGGTATTCGCACTCTGCGCCTCCCAGGGAGTTGTTGGGCTGGCAGAGGTAGAGGCCGTAGTACTCGGGAGCTGTCGAGTCGGGCACGGTGTATATGCTGCGCAGTCCTTCCGAGTAAATGTTCCGCTCGATCGTCTCGTTGCCCAACATCCAGGTGATGTTGACCTGCGCTGGGTTGGCGTCCACTTCGCAGATGAGTGTCACCTGGCCCTCCGAATTCTTGCTCGTGTACAGCACGCACGAGGGTGGGTCTGCAAAAATTATGACGAAGGGAATTCAATAAGTTGTTTCATTTGTGCAATCGTGATACCGAGTATGGCGAGTTGTTCCCAATCTACAAGGATATTTTGTCCTTCCAGTATGCTCTCTTATTCTACAGAGCTCTGCTGCCTCAATGCAGAAATACAAAAATAAATGCTCAAAATACACAGAAGATATAATGGTAGAGAAGGAAAAGTAGGGAGGTCAATTAGTCCAGGATAACCGCTTTGCTAACCTAAACGTGGCAGAAGGATGAGAAAGATTGAAAGAAGATGAGGAAGGAGAGAAATGGACAGAGAGATGGCACATCGCACAGCACGTGCACAAGCGCCTAGTCAGTGTGAGTCCAATAATCTGTCAAGAAAGGCAACATCACTCTCACAGCCGACCGACCAAGTCCGTCTTCCTCAAGAACCTCAACAACACTTCCTTGGTCGCCTTCAGCTGCAATGTCATTTGTCAATGACATCCTAGGACAGATTAAACAGACACTTGTCTATTGTAAAGGCGCATTCACAAGAGAACCTATAAAGACGGGTGCGTGTACCAGATTATTATTGCTCCACTTGGCCCAGTGCATTTTCTTGTGAATGCCTATTTTCGCACATTGTTTTAATAACATTATATACCAAATCTGCGTAATTCATTAGGCCCACGACAAGTGCTGCTACTTTGTGTCCGCAATAGGTATTGCGACTGTACCGTGCACTTCCCCGAGTAAATAATTGAAAGTTTCAGTTTTTTACAGAGGGACGCTAAGATCGCCGCTCAATGTCAATGAATATGTGGGTTGTACTTGAAAAATTATAATTCAATCATGAGATACGTTAGAGTAGAAAACTCCATAATAATGTTGACCACCTGTGGCTCCTTTCAAGTGCGGCCGCTGTAACAAGGACGGCAACCCCATCCTCGTGTTTAGCAGTGCCGCACGTTATCTTGCAAGCTATTACGGTGCGCAGTCATAGGTAATCGGTGTATGGAACAACAAAATAGGTCCAGATTTACATCAAAGCGCTTAAGCGATGCGAACTGTCATTCATGCAATTTAGGCATTTGTCACATGCATTTCCTGATCACTAAACACGTGAATAAATGAAACACAGAATGAATGAATGAATAAATGAATGAATGAATGAATGAATGAATGAATGAATGAATGAATGAATGAATGAATGAACCTTATTTGAAGCATGTAAGGTAGTTTGCTCTGTGCGAGGCCGGGATATTCTTTTTTTTTCACATTTGGCAGAAGAAAGTAAGTTCCTTCAAGAATGCAAATAGTTACAATGTGCAAGACTAACGTTTTTATTAAGACATTTTCGTAGCAGATAAAAAAAGCTGCACACTTTCTGCTTCAAAGCCTGGCTTTCTACTTGTACATTTTAACGTCATTTTGTCAAGGAAAAGGTGAGATCACGAGGTGTGGAACACGTATGTACTACTCACAGATGACGTCAATGTAGGTGTTTGCGGACGTCGATCCGTGACGATTGCTAGCGACGCAAGTGTAGTTGCCACTGCGTTCACGGCCGAGGCTGTAGTTCATGAACAGCAGCGGGCTGTCCGAGATGACCTGGTCGTTGTACATCCACATGTACTCGCTCGGCGGCTTCGAGTTGGCCGTGCACGTAATCTCTTCGGCCACGTTTCCCTCGTCGACGAGCAAGTGTTTTTCAGACACCTCGATGTCTTCCGGGGGATCTGAGCCAGACAACAGTCACGGTTATAGCATTGCTACCGAAAAATTGCCCCGTTCCGCATAGTTTGTCAAACAGTGTGGCTCGTTTAGGGCTGGTCTATGTTATTGGGCTGTATATTTCTTGCAAAATATGCAATTTTAATGCAGTTTGCTCGAAAATATCAGGAACAGATGGAAATTTGACAACAATTCTATCTTCTTATGTGTGATGCCAACAAAAAAATGAATAAAATTGCAAACTGCTTTGCAAGGATGGTAGCTCATGCTCCTATATTTTTAAAAGTTTTTGATTATCATGTCATATACAAAGCGTGACTAGTAAATCATTGTAAAAGTTGTAAATCACTTATCCTGCAACAGGTGTTGACACCCTAATCGTCAAGCTGTTCTGACACCCGCGCCATTCACTTCTTCATGGAATTTAGCAGAATGCCACTGTTTTTGTAATTTTTTATTGATTAATGTTTTAGCCTTGCTCATCCAACAGAACTGGCCGTTACATGATTGTCTTTTGTGGAGAATTCGCCACAACTCGCAATAAGATCAGATTGTTTTTAGCAGAACTGCTGCCAAATAAATAGATTTGTCGTAAAAGATTCACCCTACAAAACTACCGTTCTTTTGTTTGGGCCCTCTAGGATACAGTTATAGGAATCATTTTTTCGCCATAATGTAGTTCATCATAAGGCTAAAAGAATATCTTGCCAAATTCAGTCTGAATTAAATATTTCATGACTGATGATCGGTAATTCGATCCAATATGTAGCACATCGAATAGAGAGACGTAGTTTTTCTCAGATGCCGTACTTTTATTCTGTAGTCTGAGCTCCTCTTTGTTGTCGGCTTCTAGCAGCCATCACTACATTCTTACATCACATACTCCTTTATTCTTCGACTATAGACTTGTACCTAATGCAAAAGTCCACGAACCACTCGGGCAATTCTCTGCATTTGCCGAGCCATGGCCAGAGGACAACAACCTATTTCTGCACGACTTATTGCGCGACTTATTGCGCGACTTATTGCGCGACTTATTGCGCAATAAACACTACCACAAATGCTTTGAGTACGATCCTCTAACCAGGTGACTTAGCGTTTATCAATGTGTGGCACTTAAATTGAATCAATAGCGTGCCAAAAAAGGTACAAACGATTAAAACCACTACCGTGCATGTTTAGGGTACCATCATTTAACGAAGAGAGCGAGCGTTTATGAATGTGACGAGCGCATGTTTTGTCAATATCGCCACAAAATGTACAACCAACATATCTCTCTTTCTTTAACGAATATGGAGGTTTGGTTTCTTGGGCCCTTACCTTAAGAATTTTTTTAGTGTCTTAGATGTCGTAAGCACACATTGATGATGGTGATTTTAGAAGCTGGCGATGGCTGCTTAATGATCATGTTTCAACTAAGCAGTAATATCATTCAGCTCGCTTTTCTTACAATGAAGAAAACGTTTTGTGGTAGGAGAGCCAAAATATGCACGACCGAGACTATGATATTACAAGAGCAATACCAGCAAACTTTATACAGCTACTATGTCGCTTGTGCAACTTGGTGAATGATATTACTATTGCGTGATCGCGGCAGCGACAGAAGTGGTTACGAAAGGTAGGGACAGTGCAAGGCACGGAGGGCTCGCACCATGGCGGGGCCGTGCTTGCCAAACTCACACTCGACTTCGAAGTGCGTCGTCGAGGAGACCGCTCGGCCAACCAGGTTGCCGCTCGAGCGGCACGTGAACGTGGTGTTGTCCAAGTTCCGGTCGAGGACGCCGCCGGGCCACTGCGTCATGTCGAACTTGAGCGTGCTCACCACCGAGGCGAAGCGGTTCTCCGCGGGCTCCTCCGGGTGTGGCGTGCTCTGGATGCTGAACTGCGGGCTGTAGTCGATGCTCTCGCCGGCGCGCAGCCACTCGATCACGCAGGCCGGCTCGCACTCCACGCGGCACGACAGGCTCACGTCCGTCGAGTTCTGCAGCGCCCCGTGCACGCCGGGCAGGTGGTCGATGAACGACGGCGGTGCTGCGAGACGGAGAACGGCGCGTCCAACGCACACGCATAGTCGGCTTTGCAGGCACAAACGCGAGTTGCTCCCCGAAGTCGCCCGCTGCTATTGTGTGGTCCCTCGTTTATTTATCACGCATTTCTCAATAATAATAACATAAAGGTAGCTCTCCCCGACGAGCACAGACTTCGTCGAGACGGAAATGAGCGTGTAAAAGCACGGCTCTTCTTTCGGGCTATTGTCGCGGCTGGAGACGAAGCAAGATCGATAAAGGCGATGTCTAGGGCCGAAAGATTCATAAAGCTAATGTCTGGAATTCCTTTCAGTGGTCGGTCTCAAGGGCGCTCGGTTTTGTTGCTTTTCACGTAAATCCGGCGACTCTCCACGTCACAAAAGGCGAAATCGGCCTTTGATGTGAAATAGAGTCTTGGTGTCCAGAACTAAAGCACTTCGACGCATGCTATTTGCAAGGTTACTTGCATATAGCTGCTTCAAACTGTGTTCTCAAAGAGAACTCACAAGGTGATTAAGTGCTTTATGGTCGTACTAACAGTAAAAAAAATGTATTGCTGGAAACGCTTACGTGTTTTTCTTGCTGTAGTAGCATGGTTAAACAATATTTACGAGCACCACCACGTTATCACCCTCAAAATATAATAAATACATTTTCTTCACACTCTCACAGCCTTATATACTTTCCAGCCTACAAGCAATTTTTCTGATGTTTGAAGCAAAATATAGCGTGGGAGGTCAAGCTATTCAGCGCATAATTTTTCTTGCGAACAAAGGTCGGCAAAACTTGTCGGGCTCACTCAGACTCACTCGAGAAATGTATCTTGCGCTTTGAACTCACTCTCCGACTCAGACCCACCAAATATTTCCTGAACCGAATTCACTCGGACTCACACACACATAAATTCTTCTCAAGCAGACTCACTCGCGCTCAAACTCCCCAAAATACAATTAACCCGGACCCACTCGGACTCATACTAAAACTCACGGCTCTATCTGAGTCTGAGATCCGAGTCTGAGATGGTCCGAGTGAGTTGACTCAAGAGGGAGCTCGCCGACCTGTGCTTGCGAATATAGGCATTCGTTGTTCCCCCTGCGTATGCACTGTTTAGCTTAACGGCATGGTTCACAGCTCCTTATATACATAATTATGATGAACAAAACAAGGAAACAGAAGGATGTACACATCACCATGAGTGCATGCTTTTCTGTCCTTGTTTTGTTCCGCTATATTACGTATTTAAGTCAAAACCAAGGAGCCGAAATCAAAGTCCCTCTTCTGCTACTGTGCTCCTCGCATTCGACACTTCAACTTTGCAAGCACGCGACCTAGATGCGCGCGAATAAAAGAACCTCGTTCCTCCCTACCCAGCACGGGAAGCTCGTAGTCTCCGCTGGGTCCAGCTCCGACGTCGTTCACGGCCGCGCAGGAGTATCGGCCGCGTGACGTCAGACTTCCGGGCGGCGTCACCAGTTCGGCCTCGGTGGCGGTGGCGATGAGCTCGCCTTCGAACTCCCAGCGATAGTGCGTCGCCGGCGGGAGGCCCGGGTCCTCAACCACGCAGCTCAGGGTCGTCGTCTTGCCCTTCACGGCGTACTCGCTCGCGTGCACGACGCTCGCGGGACCGGGAGGATCTGAAAGAACGTGCGGGTTTACTCTACTTTAACGTTAAGTTACCAGTGAGCACTGTTCTTGTGCGTTCTTTATTGTGTCACGTTTTTCTCGGGCTATGCTTCAACATGTAAGGATATTGCCGCGAAGTCTTACGTTTTTGAACTATCCGAATAATTACGTCTATCGCTACGCTACAGATTTCTTAAGACTCTTTAAACTCATCGTTCTGCGTCAACGATGATCATAAACTTTTCGTAAACAACGGTTATTTCCCTCAACAACTTTTTCCTACTTCACTGTCGGTATCGAAACGTTCAAACGACCCTTATGCTTGCAACGTGAACGTGTCAGGAACATAGCGGTAAAGAGAGAAAACAACATTAAATGTGGGATCAACAACCACGTTTTTTTCACGTGCGTAAATGCGTTGACGTCCGGAACGTCCACTCACAATAGACGGCCAGCTCCTGGGTGTCGGACACGGGCCCCCATCCGGCGTCGTTCTCGCCCTGGCAGGAGTAGTTGCCCGTGGCGTTGCGCATGACGTCGGCCCACACGACCACGCGCTCGGTGCTCTCGTTGAGCAGCTCGCCGTCGCGGTGCCAGCGCACGCGGCGCAGCTGACCCGGGTTGCCCTCGAGCACGTTGCACGACAGGGTCACTCGAGTGCCGGGGCCTTCCTCCAGGAACGGAGGAGACACCACCGCCGCCACCGTCGGCACGTCTGCGATATGGACGTCGAGACGGGTTACTCTTCTCGCGAGAAGGTTGCAAGGCGGGTTTGTTGGTACGGCTTGTTTGAATGGCAACGGTACAGCAAGGTAACGGACACATCAAGCTCTTATAGCGCTGTGTGTGTGTGTGTGTCCCCGCGTTCTTCTTGTCTCCAGTTATCATGTACCTTGTTCCATGATTCTTATACATGCCTCCTATATACAAGTGCAAGTTAGTTTGTACGTACAAACATTACCACCATCACCTACCCGTCCTTGTACCAATATCACGTGATTAATCACTATGATACTAAAAACCTTGAAAGCATGTCACGAATTTATTAATCAGAAAACGGTGCGTGAAGTAATAAAGCCATCTGTTATGTAGTTCCCCCTGTAGGAAGCCTTCAAGGTCATAAAAGTGAACTGTACCGAAGAAAAGAATGCGTGGTTGTACGCATGGCGGATGCTGGGCCAATTAATAAACTTGAGGAAGCCCTTGATATGCGCATTTTAGGCTTACATAAAGCCCTGTGGTTCACTTTCACTGTCACTATTCACAATGAACGTGATTTCAGGAATAAATGGCGAGTTCACCTGCTTCTCAATTTGCCCTTCCTACAGTCTGTCTCTCTCTCTCTTGCTTGAAGATTTTCTATTCCTCATTGCAATTTCCTTGTACTATACTGGTTTGCAGTTTATTGCTCACACCGGCAAATACATCCATTATGTGTCTTCAGGATCTTAAAATTGGCCCACATGACTTACAAAATATAAAGTTAAATAAAGGAACAGATATTTAGGTATTACAAATGAAAGAAGCAGACAGCTACAGCAATTATTCAATACAAGCTTCAGCGCGCTCAACTTTCTTCAAGAGGGGACGAAAACCGGAAAAAAGAAATATGAGGACACACCGACTACGACCCCAGTGCGTTCTGTTACTCCCCGCTTGTGCGTGAGCAGTACCAGATAAGCGCAATATTTTTTTTTTTGTTTATATTAACGCGTTTTAATACGGGGAATTTCCAGCACCTAGATCTCTTTTGAATCGCCTCCAGTTAATTTTTTTATTCAAGCGAGGTCTAAACGTGTGCCCGGGCTCTCCGCATGCTACACGATACCTTTTCTGAACAATGGTACCATTATATGTAAAATAAATTAGCAGGGAAGCAAAAACATTGATATCATGTGGCTTGGCTAGTATTACGCCTGTTTTAACTCCTACTGTTACAGCAAAACGAAACACAAACTGCTCTTAGACGCATTGGGAAGGCGCCAGCACTACTTAGAAAGTGGCGTGTCCAAAATCAGTTTTTTTTTTCTTCTTCCACGAAGCGAATTGCAGACAGGCGAAGTGAATAACTTTGCTCTATTCATATATCACAAGCTGATTAGCATCAGAGAGGAGATCATCTCATCAAGCTTCGTCAGCGGTGTCACACGCTGGGATGAAGTACCTCGAGCTCGTGAGACCGAACGATACCACGTTTCAAGCGGCAAGTCATGAAAGTTGTACTGCAATCACTCTGAACTGTCATTGCGAAATTGGCGGGGTGCATGCAATTAGCCATGACTCGCTTCTCTGCGACAGCGAGAGTACAGAGGAGTGGGCGACGAGGGTTTTAGGTGGTGAGACGGAGCTCGCTGACGAGCTTTCCAGGTCTCTTGCCTAATTAGGTCGTTCAGAACGGGGGTCTTCGAAAAAGCTAGTTGCGAGTGGCAATAGGCTTGCTTTATCAGTGTGACGTCTACATAGACATTATAGTTAAAATTGACGGCTGTTAAGGGATCTCTTCTTCCAAATTAGACAAATGGATTATGAATAGTTGCCTCTCCTTAAAATATCGTGCAAATATTTAATTTGCATAACATAACTGTTATATCTCTAATTTCTCGTGCGTTAAATGCCCCCAATATAAGTGGCCCTATAATTGGGACTCAACCAGCCACAATTATGGTTTATAATAATATGAACCATGCAAAGATGGTCGTTCGTCACCCTAAACATACCCTTCCTCAATACAGATTAGGTAATATCAGTTATCATCGCTATGTAGAATGTGCGAAATTCTCTTCAGCATTGGCGGTCGCTATCTGTGCCTGCGATCAGCATATATCTAGCACTATTCTGGACTACACAGGTACATACACGGTCTATGCCACCTCTACTATATTCTTATATTTCTTAAATGGAAGGACAATTGGACCGAACATGGCGTGGAACTTCAACTCAGCCAGATCGAAGTGCTTGAGTGGAAACGGCGAAATGGGACTCTGGTTTTGCGACATACTCATGTTTTGAAGTGGTAGAGAGTTATGTAGCAGAGTACCCAAAGCTTCTCGCAAGCCATTCGTTGGGTTCGCTGCCACCGCGCAGGCGTCGTGCGCTTTCGTCTTGAGCACCCACGTTAAGGTGCGAAGACAGAGTGTCGCGCCTAACGAACGCTAACGCTGCGAACCCTATTCTGAAACGAAAACGCACATATTTCGCAACGTGAGTGCGTTGGCATGCAGGGCTTTGAAAACCATCGCTTCTGGCTGGTACGTTCGCATTCGTTTCAACAAGCTCCAAATGATCATTAACTTGTCGCTGCCTCCTTCAAGGCGACAGCTCGACCAAGGGCCCTGAAACCTCCCTCCCCGGGAAGACTGCGAGGTATACAATGAATAATAAGAGAAAATAAAAAGAAGGAAAAGGATGCCTTCTGGGAGGAATCAATCCGGTCCTCGGAAGTATCGCGGCGCTGCTCGTGTGAATGGCTGCGTAGCGGGTAATGGAACGGCGCGTATGCCCGCTGCACAGGCAAGCGTGAAGCGTGCTGAATAAGCTGCCGGTAGTGATCCGAATATATGCACGTATTGTGCGTGGCCCCATGGGGAGGAAAGATACGTTTGGACCACTTTTTCTCTTAGACGTTTATATTTTAGTGGTTTTTTTTTTCATGTGTCGTTCCGCATTTTTCTGTGACTGAAACGATTTTAACGCGCTCAAGCTCATTCCCCCATCCTTTGCTTCTGACTGGCTAGGCGCGCTTTTCTGTAGAATAGTTTTTGTATTTCTACAAAAGTAATGAAAGGTGCCACTGTATATATGCTTTGTCACTTTCGCAGACAGTATTGGTCTTTTGTTTATGTACTGTGTTACGTAACGCATAGAAGTGGAGTCACCCCCGAATATAGTGCTATTTTTACGTACGAATTCTTGCTTGCACTGTTTTTTTTTTTTGAGAACTTCTTGTTTGTCGTCCGGGTTCGACAAGAGAGGGACTCCTCTCTCCCTCAAAGTGAATCATGGCGTGGGACCCCTTGATAGCTTTCAAGATGTGAACTCCGCTGTTTGCCGTTTCACTACATTAAACTTTACGCCCCTCGAGGCTTTGAGAGATGATGGATTTCCCTTTTAGGCTTTGAAGTGAACGCGCCGTGCACGCCTCCGCAAGTATGCTTTCTTAGTAGCAGACATTCGGCAAGCAGTGACGAGGGTGTAGTCTCTTCTTTATACGAGAAAATGAATGCATGCGTTGCTGCTCATTGATTCTTCTTTCGAGTGTATTGCTAGGGGGACCTTGTCAATGCCTCGCCTCTGTCTCCAGAAACGATGACACAGGCGAGACGCACCCAAGATTTTCAAAGGTAAAAAAAAAGAAATATTTGAAGATGTGCTCAGCGCAATTCAGCACTTTTTGTTTCAGCGAACTTCACTCATTTACTTCAACCAGGCGTGATTTTCTTCTGCAACGATGTTAACACATTGCATCATGTGTCACAAAACTTCACAAATTTTAGAACTCATTATAAGTAGGATATACCAAGTGGTTTTTAATATCGTTTCGTTCTTAAAGAAACCTGATGCTACAACAACATATGCCTGCAATATTTGTAGAACTTAATTATGAGAGTCAACCTCTCATTAACTTCAGCGGAACGAGTCGTCCATTCTAGGTCGTTTTCCCAAAAAAGAATAGCACGAAACCATAACTTGCTTCAAAAGGGACAGAACAGGATGAAATAGTGTCATTACGGCGACCTTGTTTTACCAGCAATTTCAAATTTCTTATACATACGGAAGCTTTGGTAACCTTACAGTACAACGTCTTCGAAACCCGACGCAGACAGAATCACAGATTATGTAAGATATCAGCCATAATTAGTGTCCAGCAGAGAAATGGGCAGAAAGATACACGACTTCATAACGTCGCCTTTTATTCCGAGATAGTAACTATTTCCATTACCTGAAGAAAAGTATTGTAAGAGTGTTGTAAGTACGCTGTACACCACGAAAATTGTCCTGATCTATAAATGTGATAACAGCGATAATAATTTGTATAGAATTGGCTTGATGTGGTTTCTGATGATGTTAAACAAAGAATATAAAGGAATAATAACAGCACCCGGCTGTCACAAACGAGCGCTCCGAAAAAGCGTGCGCCGCCGCATTCTAGCGACAGTAACGATACCAAGCGCAGAGAAGCGCCTCAAGGTCAACGACAAAGAAGAAAACAAGCATCCAAAGACTCCCTGGGCGCGCCCTCTCTCCTCCCCTCGGAAGCGTAGTTCGCCGACTAACCTTCTCACATCGGCGGCCGAGCCAGCCCTGGAAGGTTCTCGAGGGAAAGGGGCGTGGTGATGCAGAGTTGCGTCATGTGTCGCGGACGGCCCCCGAAACGTCTCGCGCTTTCCCCAGCCTTCGCTGCGCATCGCGCCGACGGAAACGATGAGAATTTTCTGGAATCTAGCGCGAAGGGTATTTAACCGAGCAGCAGAGATGGGAGGGGGGGGGGAGAAGGAATGTTGCACTAGTATGCGTAGGGTCTTTCCGCCGTGTGGACGGAGCCTTTTGTCCTCAGTGACAAAGGAGGAGAAGAAGAAAGTTTGCGCCCGTGTGCGTAGGCAGAAGATGAAAGTTTTGCGCAAGTGTGCGTAGGGTCATTCCGCCGTATCGTATCGGCGAAGGTTTTCTTCTTAGCAACAAAACAAGTAATGAAGAGGATTTCCACCTGAGGGGCGAAGACTCGTGCTACAAGCAGAATAATGTGAGAATACCGCCAGAGAGCGAAGACGCGTCCTGCAATCGCAACGCGTGGGGAGCCGACGTGTTACCGGCGAAGTTTGGTGCTTGGAGAGCAGCCAATTGAAGACGCAGGGTTTCCTGGGAGAGAAACTTCGGTGGCAGCGGAACGACAACAGCGCTGGACTTTGAGTGAGTGATTCTTGGAAGAGTATCATTCAGACTTTTGTTCCAAGGACTTTGGACTGAATAAGTTTTCGAACTCTTTAGCCTTTAAGTGTCTTGGATGTTCGGTGCATGTGATTGCATTGTAGCGCGTATTGTTGTTTGTGTCCGTTGTTTCGAGTGTGGCTGATTGTACTGTGTAGTACGTTGTTTGAATGGGGACATATTGTATACAACTATTGTCGAGTGTGCATATTTGTGTATCGTTTTGATCTGCCATAATTGAGAATATAATTTTGTTTTGTTTATCAACTCTCGGCTCTGACTTGTTCTTTGGGCCACAGCCGGATTCCGCTGGCACGCCAAATAGGACCACTTCTAAACTGTCCACGCTTTCGTGGTGCAGTTCAGGGGGCCGATACTTCGGCCCTTGGAATCAGCCTGGCAATCGCCTCCCTAATTAACGGGACCTGTGACACCGGCATATGCAGTCAGACTTTTTATTTCATATGACACTCGACTTGACTTTGATACGGCTAACAGCAAGCAAATTCACGAAATGAAATTAGGTCAAGCTTCACAAAGCTGTACAGGGTGTTCTGTGAAGCATTTGAAGTTTTTCAGAAATACGACAAATGAGATGATTAAGCCGTTTCCACCTGAATGATTTCGCGGGTATACATTTGCATGATTCTTGAGATAATGCTTAGATGACTAATGATATCACTAAATAAGTACCTTTTAGGACCATGGTCGCAAACGACTGACCACAATGGTGATAGCCTTGCATCCCGTCATCTAAACCAGTCGTAAGTACTGGTAGAAATGCCATCATTTCAAGCATCAAATTTTCCAGCACCATAAGTTATCGCTCGCGTCCCAGCAGAAAGCGATCGCGAAGTAACCGAGAGCGTGAACAGCTGTCTAACAGTCGACAAGCCCCAATGAATGTCGTGCCTGTTTCAGCGACCATCAAACGAGCATCTTGACGCGCATCGGACATGCAATGAACGCGTTCACTTGATATTTACTCCCTCAGTGACATCACAGCAATGACGTCCATAGTCAGTGCCTGATTACAGCGTGGTGGTTATAATCTTATGAACTTTTCTTTCAATTTTCTGCGTAAACATTATCAGAAATATTTTCGCCATAAAAACAATAAGCGCTAGTTGTATCGACCACTAAGAAATAGTTAAAAGCTTTTTAGATGGCGTGACTAACGTGTTCAGTCGTAAGTAATCACGGCGTTATTATTCGCTAGAAAGGTATCTCGTATAATGTTTTCATTTACAGTGATGCAAATGGCCGAAGTAAAAAGATGTTTTTTTCTTCTATAAAATGCAGAGGTATACAGAGTGCATACACTGCACCGGGCTTGCGAACCCTGTATGCAGCGATCTGGACTCTGTCTTACATACGCCTTTATTTCGGCACGTGCAGGGCAGCAAACTAAACGCAGCTTCGTTAACCTCGTTTATCTTTATTACCCCTTCCCCTAAAATGAATTCAGTCGTCTCGCGGTAAATTCAATGGCGTACTTACACAGGATGTCCAAGTGGGCAATGTTTGTAGAGTTTCCCCAGCCGATGTCGTTTCGCAGGCCGCAGCTGTACCGTCCACGGTCTCTCCTCGTCAGTTGCCGTATGGTGAGCGTGGGCAGCCCCGGATTGCTGGGCTCCAGCCGATCGTCCTGGTCGAACCGCAGAGGCGCGTCGTCCTTGAACCATCGCATGTCGAGGATCATGCGCGGGTTGGCCGTGTACGAGCAGTGCAGCACCACGTGGCCGCCCTCCTTAACCACACCCACCCGGCTCTGCTCGATTTTCACCTCCGGTGGATCTGTGTGCACGAAGTGTTGGGAAAGGTCTCATTCCGAGCTCAGGCAGCTCAGCCGCGCGTAAGTGCTGCATTCATTTGCCTTTGTAAACGCTCGAGGACGTGAACGCACAGTAAACACGAAAGTGGCCTTTCAATGAATGTGAGCCGCACGATGTCTTTAACAATGGTTCAAAGAGGGGAACTGAAAATGAGAAACAAAGAGAAGACAAAATATGAAAGAGATGCTTTAGTCTGTCTCCTTTTTGTCTCCGTTTCCACGCTATTCTTTTTCGTTTGTCTTGTAAAAACTTAGTATTTTACCGAGCATATATCACGCATAGTTAATGACGCCCGAACGAAGTATTACGTGGGTATATTCAAAAAAGGCAGTGCTATAGTACCGTTTTTGCATTAACGTCCCAAGCCATGGTAGGTGAGACACTAATTTTTCAAACATTTAGCAGATTGTATTCACCATTCTTTCTATGTTGCTTCTCTTCTTATTTATAACACTGCCTTTATTTGCTTGTTTTTTTCCTCTTTTTTTAATTCCTAATTTCAAGTAACTGATAGACAGATTGTCTTATGCATCTTGCTTTATTCTTATTTATCTCGTGAGTATTGCTAGATGCTGCATTCTAAATACTGGCTTACTTTTGGAGCTCAAATCTCACTAATTGCTTACTACTCTTTTAAAAGATTTACCTGCGTTCTGTTTTTCTTTTTCATTAGATCTGTTCCGCTTTTCTCGTTTGAAAAGATTATTTCTCACTTTCGAATCTCCTAAGATTCTCCGCATATTTTTCACTACACTATCTCAAACGTTCCATGGTCCTTCCTCATTGCAGATTTGCTGTGTAAGACGCGGTTCTATATATTTGCGACCTGAATGTTGTTTTTTTTTCTTTTCTTGGCTACAAAAACTGTACTTCAAAAATTTGCAGCTTATGGTATACTCTACACGGAGGACACATGCCCGTTCTCAATTAGCCATATGAAAACGCCCATACATCATACCATAACAGTAGTACTGCACAATTCCAGAATGTCTCTACATGTGTGATTAAGAGACGTCTCTTTGTGCCACACTGCATGATTGCCTGAAGACAGAAATATTCCGGGAGGCATGCATCCCAGCCTCTCAGGCGTTGTAGCTGCAACCAATCACCTTGAATGGATAAAAGACGCCTGCCTTCAGGCCAAATGAGTGCGAGCGAATGAATAAGTTCTGTAAAAACGAGTGCATTCACGGGGACATCACAGTAAAATAACCTAATATTTTAGCTAATGCGTTTTCCATTACACATCATGTTGCCTTCGTGTGGTGAAACACAGTACCGTTTTCCTGTGTAGCCCATTGGCCAATTCAAGATATCGAAGCGCGAAAGTTTTTTATTGTTGTTATGAGCTTCGTTTTTTTTTTTGTCGAATAACGCTCTGATAACGGCAGTAAAAAATGCGATTTACGATTGAATAGTAGGAGCCCAATGACAAACGCTAAAACTTTTTTTTCTTCGCGCCTCATTCTTGTTCATTAACCCTACTTTTGTGGGGCTTAGAGTAATCCTAGAATGTGGAAAACTGAATAGAGAAAAACAAGTTAGGAAAGAAAGACAAAGTGAGGCCTAAACATTTTGTACATGAAACAAAATCAAAGTTTACAGGGGGAAAATGTAAAGAAAGGACGCACGGAGTTGCCCACGGGCTTTGAGCCAAACGCTCGCTTTGAGTAATGGCGACCGGAAAACGTGTCCTGCCTGCAAATGGCTACTCTCACGCCGGCATAGGGTTCCTCCTTATTCGAGCGCCAAAGCAAGCGGGGTACGAAAAGCTTTCTGTTGCATCCATCATTGCAAATATCCTGCCCATCAGCCTCCACCCGGGCGTACCATACGGAAGCAGCCTTCGCGCGTACTTCGCAATGAAATTAGAAGTAGCCCGTGGCTGAAACAAAAAAAAAAAAGAATCCAGCTGCCACAATCGAGGGGACGTCCTTTTTAGAAAGGCTGGGCCGGCTGTTTTCTCGGAAACTAAGGCTCAATTTTATTACACTTGACACGGTGCATCTATCGCCGAAACCACATCGCGTTTGAGCTAAATGGGAAATGGGGAAATGATTGCGTTTTTTTTTTCTTTTTAAGCTCGAAACCGGCGAAGTGGACCGTGCAACCTCCTCGGGGGCCTCTCATGTGACGGAGGAAGAAATTCGTGGGACGAGCCAAATGCTAAACGCTTGGGCACGAAAGAATGAGGTTGCAAAATCGTGGACGAAACCGACTTCTCCGAATGTTTACTCGCTGAGATAACACGGCCACCTTTGCGCGGCAAACTGTATGAAAACTACAACATTATGTCCTTGGAAGGGAGAAAAAAAGTAAGAAATGAATCTCGTGTTTCAAGTCGGCTAATAAGGACTTTTCACTTGCATTCGAAAGTGGTATTCAATCGATTCCACTGCTGAGACAATAAGGGGTACGAGGAGCAAACTCAAATATTTACCTGTGCACAGGCGCTACTTTTATACTAACGAGATTCAATGCACTTTTCACTGCAAAGAAAGAGTGCGAGTTTTTGCGCCATGACCATACATCACTGTAAGTACTGGACTGTTTCTCCTGGTTGCATTGGGTACCTTTGGCAAGTTCCCTGATTTGCATGCGTTGCATTTTGTGATGAACTGCTGTGCATGATCGTACTTTCATGTACATAATATATGTGGTCGCCAGAATGCGCGTCAGTGGGGCTCAATCATAAAGTTGATAAAAATCAGTGTTTAAAGTTACCACTAAAATAGAGGCCTTTTCACACTTAAGCAGCCGAATATTCAAGTGATCAGCGTGCGCTGAGATGAATCATCATAAAACACAAGTGGCGCTACTAAATTCTCCCGAGTGGCAGCAACCGGCGATAATTGTATTTGCCGCCCTCTCAATCTTATAGCGTCTTCAGTTCACGGTCCACAAGCACACAGAACGCTTTATCTTCATCAGTTAGCGCTTAAGGGTCTCGAGAACACAGCGCTCCTAAAAGCAAAGTTTCCCAATTGCCTTGTATACTCTCATGTCGTCCGTGCCCACTAAGACGTCGCGAAGTGTGAGCCTTCACAATGATTTCTCTGTTTACAAACTACGTTAAATCGCACTCATTGGTGGAGTGCTTAGACGTTTCCAAAGGCAGACTAACGTATGCCTGCCTTCAGTATCCCATAAAAGCCTCGCTCCAAGGCAAGTGAAGCCCGTGATTCAGTTTTTCTCCCGAGTCCCTCCAGCCAACGCTTCTTGGTGTCAAATATGGCCCAGAGATTCTTTTGACGGACAGAGGTATACGTCGAGCGCTGCCCACTTCGCTCTATGCCACGTACGCGCAGACGTGGCCGCTGTCTGGACACCCTAATGGCACCCGACGTTGGAAACCTGGGACCTCAACGCGGCACCGGCGAGCCTGGGAGCAGCTGCCCTGTACGCTTTCCAACAAGGCCTAGCCCGACGAGCCCCAGCACACACCTTGAAGAGCCGGCATCCGTTCTCGTCTGTACCTCTCTGAGGTGACCCCCCTCCCCCTTCCCGATCCCCCTTTCTGCACGCGGCTCTTGTGCGCGCCTGCCCGAAGAGCTCTCGTATCGCAGAGCAATTTCCTCAGCGGAAGCCGGCCGGTATTGCTTCGCTCCTATGGCACCCGCTTTGACCGGAAATAGGGCCAACATTAGCGCGGTCTGCTCATCCCGTGACACTCTCGAAGCTGCGGCGGTGGCGGGACTTGGCTTATTTCGCAGGGTGCCCTCTACAGAGAGATTCGTTCGGGGTTAGGAAAAAAAAAGGTGGTCCCGACTGAGACACAAAACAAAAAAAAAGAGAAATTCAGGGCTGGGATCTAAGGATGGGGCTCGTAAATTAAACGTCTCCACCGCTAACTCAAGGGCGGTGACTGTGGGCCGTCCTTTTGTTGTCGCGAGTGTGCGCGCCCTGCTTAACAACTAGGATTCAACAATGCTTCGACGAGGAACATCATTATAAAGTGGGATGAGCTCCTCCACCGCCTGTCACTCCCTCGTTTCAGTGTTTTCTTTCTTTTGCTTTTGTCCTCCCTCGCACACAGCGATCGCTAATGATCACTACCTGTCCAAATAATGAAGGGATACCGGGTAACGGGGTACTCTTAATACCGAAGGTACTTTTCCTGAGCTACAGGAGGAAGCTGCTTCACTAGCTTTTTAAACAGGCTATGTTCTGGCCGTCTGACCATTAACTTAAGCTGATTGAGATTGACGACAATGAGGGTCTTCATCCTTATAATTGTAAAACTTCAACTAAGAACAAATACTCGAGAGAATTCACCAGCTGCAAGAAACGCACAACTCATTCGGAACTCAAAATACTAAAGAGATTATTGCCTTACAACCCCTTCTGATTTCTAGACCAAGAATTGGTTCTAAGTGCTGTCATGATCTCTTCTGATTTACTCATTTACAATTGTGAATCACAGGGCTTGTTTTTTTTCTCTTTTCTTCGACAAAAACGCTGAGTCAATTTTTCTTCCTCCGTATAAACACAAAATACCACTAGCTAGCTAATTGACCTGAATACCTTTACTTGTATATAGTAACTTACTTTTTACACAAAAGGAACTCCTTTTAGCCGAGTTAAAGTTGCTTATAATGACTACCCTGGCCTTTCTTTTTTTAGATAGCTTTTGAAGACCTCGCTCTGGTTTTCTTCTCGCAAGGAACACACAAGCCGGCAGCCCCGTTTCACATCATTGTAAGTGAGAAGGAATCTCGGGACCACTCAGTAAGCTAATTCTCACTCAACTAATTGAAGACGTTGTCAGACAATTATCTTCTTCGCTACGAAGAGGCTGGACGATGTTGTGAGGGCCCTGGCAGTGGCAGAATACTGTCGAGTATTTTTTTTTTTGTTCGAAGTGTATATTTTCAGTTATCTTGTATTGGCCTCCCTTCCTTGTCTAGTTTTGAGCATTTAACACCTTTAATTTATGAATTGACTCGACGAGCAACAAGTTTTAGAGAACAATGCAATTTGAACAGTACGTGCACACTCGAAGTGTCATTTTCTCTTTTAAAAGAAAGTTCTGTGAGTTACAGAATTCGGTGGCGGTGGCTCATAGTTCACGAAAAACCGTGTCCGGCGAGTTCACAGACACGCGGGTGTGCACAATTGAGACCCTTAACGCTGCACCGATCATAAGCGTATTTGCATGCGGCAATTTTGGGGGCTTATGGCATTAGCCATCACTAACATGACAATTCGATACATCGTCGAGGTCAACTCGTCATTTGTGACGCTGCCACGTTTGATTGTTGGCTTTCGTTATTTCGTGCATGACCACTGTTGTTGCCCATTGCAACAGTGTTTCGCCGTGAACCACGTGTGTTAGTGCAATTTCTGGTACGAAGAAAAGGGAAAAGGTAGGAGGAAGCACTGCACAATTCGAAAAATAAAATGATGAAAGAGAGAAAGAACGCAAGAAAGAGAGCCAAAGGAATAAAGAACGAGATAGAAAAAACTAAGAACAATATTATGTCTTGTTCACGCACACCAACTTTCTCTTGTCGCCATTTTTTCCGATAGCGGGGAGGCCTCTCAAATCGGTTTATTACTTTTTTGTATTTGTGCTGAGTTGCTACTCGTACTCAAACCATTCCTGGCAGCGAGATGTGGCCTCTCAGTAAACGCGGTGGGAAAAATTCTTCGCCCCAAGCAAGTCACTTCCAGCCCTAGCCTATCCGTTAAGCCCTAGCCTATCCGTTGCTTTGATCTATTTACGCTAAGGCCCCTGTCTCTGAAAGGCACGAAGGTAAACGAGGTTACTGTCCAATCAGTAGGCCAGAAAAGTTAGGGAAGTAATGACTGCCTTGAACAGGTCGTTTGTTTTCCCGGCAACTAGGTGAAGATTAACAAAGAATGAAAAGTAAATTTCGAAGTGGCCTTGTAGGTTCAAACCCGTATGTTAGGCTAGTCGGCTAATGCCTCTGACTAGCACGCATGTTTTCTGAAGCGCTTCTTCGCATGCTGTTTTTGGCTTGATTCCTGGGGCTGTATGTTCATATTGTTACGCGGAAATGATAGCAGACAGTCCCTAGCCACAGCATCCATAACGTGTCAGTCTAACATTCGCAATCTAACATCATAGACGAGCAAAGTACGGAGATATATCATTTTTGTGCTTCACGGAACGTAGTTGATGATCTCTTTACTACGCTTGTCAGTTCATCCAACTATACCAGAAGCAAACTGAATCAAGAAACGTCGTTTTTTTCCTTCCGTATGCCTTTGTGAAAGGTTATATTGACAGCACAAAAACACAGCAAGGTGAACATTTGAGCTATGATCTTACGAGTTCGCTCACAACTTGGAAGAATGTACATGCCACGAACTTTTTTGCACGTATTCTGCTAAAAAAAAAGTTACTGTGACCTCTGTTACAAATCGCTATCACGTATCATAAACTTAGCCCGCTCACTAAGCGTGAACAACTTAACGTCATGAAAATAAAACAGCAGGAACAAAAGGTAGAGAAATAAGCGAAGGCCTTTACTACAGTATTGAATGCCGGTCATTTGAGCGTAAGAAGGGAGAATTTTCACCTCGAAGATCTGCTATGTCCGTATATTCCCCATATGGCAAATGCTTCGTCATCCAGCAGACACGTTTGCACCGGGTGTTCACTTAGTGAGGCGTAAGGAGGTGTGCACATCGGAATCGTTTTAAATAACTCTCGGGTCCTTTCTTGCGTCTTTGCTCCATATCCTGTTTTTGCTCGAATTCTCGGTAGTTTGGCAACAACGCGCTTCTTTTTTCCCGCCCTAACTTTACCGACAGGGTGTGTAGAGGGGTGCAAGGCAGCTGAAGTGAGGCCCCCTCACGCGACTGAATCATTCAGAGGTGCACACCTTCGGAGAATAAACAGCGCAGGCATTATTAATCACTAACTGTCTGTGGTACAGCCCGGGGCTTTAATCGCGCTGATGGAGGTGCGGATCACGATAAGGCAAGGAATCGGGAAGGGCCTCGCAAGAAAGAGGCAAAAAAAACAGGAAAGAGTTTCTCTGCTACCTCGTTTTTCCTTAGGCAAAGTTCTCTTTGCTGTGCCTTTCTTTTAAGCTACATCTCTGCTTCCTCGATCTGCTGGTTTTTTTTTTTTTTGCTTCTATTGGAAACAGGCCGTGACATTTAGAGGTGTTTTTTTTTTTCGCTTTTGTTGCAGCTGTACAAGTGAGTAGTGGAATGAGTGCAGAAATAAAGTAGAATGATCAAGCAACAAACTCAGCAAGAACCGCACCTCTGAACGTGAGAAAAGGCGCCGGTGCGCAGTCGGTGCTTCTTTTTCTTTTATTATTATCATCTGTCCTTGAAACATATGGAAGCTCTCAGCCCAGGCGACCTTATTGAGTTACGCTGGGCAGTCGGAAGAGCACGTGTAACGGCACGAAGAATTGCGGCTGAATTAGAAGCACGTTCACTTACGGTGTTGTTTAGCTTGCTTTCTTTGTTCTTGTTTTTTTTATTCTTCTCATTTATATCCGTTCACATTCCCTCAGGACAAAATGAGAGCAGTTATGCCCCCCTTGCTTTATTTTTTTTCTTTCTTCATCCGACGGACTCAAAGAGTTCTTTCTCCAGCGAGTATTGTTTCTCTCAGTATACAGCAAAGGCACGGTTTTCCTATAGCTTGCCAGAACCACAACCTGCCCAGGCTCCCCTTCCTGCTCTCGTCACTGGCATTACTTAGCATCAATCTTAGCGGACAACTTTAACTAACAGTGACTAATGAGCTTTACTTGATGTGTTTTTGTGTTTGTTCTCTATTTTCTTGTGTTCACCTGTCTTTTTTTTTACTGTTTGATACCCCTCCCTTCTCTAATGCTTCGACCCAGAGAGTACAATAAATGAAAATCAAAATAAAATGAATATCGCAGTTGATTTACAATTCTTTTTTTATGGTTAAGCGTTCACGTAGAAACGTTACATGTATTTCGTGGACATAGTTGAAACGCCTTCTTAACTTCCTCAATGTTAAATAGCCTGTCAAGTGCGCATGTGCATATAGCTGCCTAGTTTGACCAATTATAACATTTCCAGCGGTGTCTACGAAATCTAAACACGCAAACAAATAGCAATTGAAGGTTCTCTCAACATCTGGGCCACAAACCGGAGGCTTATTTTCCGGGTGCCATACCTGCCTTTACGCACTGGATTTATCTCTTTCTCTCTCTTGAATCTCAATATTAAGCGCTTTTGTACTTTGTATTTTCTTATGTGCTATGAATTGGAAGTGTTGCCAGCAAGTGTGGCTCCCAGTCATGTACTACATTATCTTTATTTATCGATAGACTAGTGGTCACGAAGACTGGAGCTGATTCGTCATCCATTGGCATTTTCCTTGTCATCCCGCAACACCCACGTGTTCAAGCGTGGCTGTTTTTTCTCGGCAAGACTTCCACGTGTCGATTTAGTGCGGCTTCCCGAAGAGTTCCTCCTGGTGGAATGGGTTAGGAAAGGTGCGCGTTTAAACCTATTAAACCTCTTTGAACCTATTAAACGCTTTGGTATTGCTTTGCTTTCCTAGTATTCCTTAACAAGGAGCTTCATTCGGAAGTGCGCAAGGACACGGAAGCCTCACTCACAGAGAACGAGCAGGTCTACGGTTCTTTCGAGCGGTGGCTCCCCGGAGGCGTCCAGCACAGGGTTGCTGCCTTTGCAGCTGAAGCTGCCTTCGTGGTCATGGCGCGTCAGCACAACTTCGAGCGTGCTCACTGTGCGGAAGGTGCCGTCGCCCAGAGGCTCGACTGCGGGCTGCGGCTGGTGCGTCATGCGCGTCGTCCGGTTGTACCACACCACTTCTGCGACGGGTCGCGCGCCGGATATGACGCAGCGCACCTGCAGGGCAGTACCCGCCTTTGCGGGCATGCTGGGACTCTCCATCTCGATCTCCAGGGGCTTCACTGCACGCAACAAAAAAAACAAACAAAGAAACGCAGAAAGATTCAGAATAACAGTAGGAATTAAATTTTATTATTACCGTAAAATCAAGTTGCTGCATGTCGGTGTGCAAGAATTGGTCCCAGAGTAAGAGACTGAATTGAAACCTCCTGTACAGGTAAAGATTAAAAACATGAAATTTTCGCATGAACAGAAAAAAATGAAAATAACAGTTTCAATTAGGGTGAGTGAGCCTTGATATTTTAGAAACATATTGCAAAAAAAACGTAACACGTGGTGTATTTAACAATAGTGAAAAGAAAAGTCTGGCACATGAGGCTATCATGAAAAGTGCTAAAGAATGTTTTATTAGTTATGCAAACAAAATGCTATGTTATATTGTTTGATAAGGAAGGTTAGTTCTTTGATAAAGGGCTTCGCGTCATTTATTTTAAAACTAAAATGAGTGGTTTGTTTACCGTAGTTGGTATGAATTTTCGGCAAGCTGAAGTTCTTGTGTAAAGCGATTTCAATGTTAAGATGAAAAACTTGCACGTGGTTTGCCCAGACCTGCTTCTGTGGATGGAGGTCAGGAGAAACGTACGTCTATCTTTCGTTGAGTTGTTGTTGTCCGCCGCCGCCGCCAGTGCCCCTAACCACGTCGCGCAAAATTGGAATAAAAAACCTTGCATCAATGACCGAGTGGCGCTAGAATCCGAGTCCGCTGAATGCCAGCCCAATATTCTACCACTGAAGTTACGCCGGTGCTTGTAACATGTTGTCAAACTTGCCTCAGGCTGGAATTACCTAGCGCCAATAGCACAGTGAGGCACGAACCTGGGTCCGCTGGGTGCCAGCCCAGTATTCTGCCATTGAGCTACACCGGTGCTTGTGACTTGTCAAGTTTTCCTTAGGCATGCTTGATGTCGGGAAAGCAATTGCGTTAATACGACTTATAAAGCGTTTTACAACAGCGAAAAAACAATCAATCGTCAAATAGCCCAACGAGTGGGCCGTCCATTGCTCTAAACTATCACAAAAGCTTGTTCTTGTTCCCCTATTAACTGTAGCGCATACCCAGTTACGCCATAATTCCTCATCGTCGTCAGCTACTGCATGAACCATTGGCTTAACATTCCTTGCAAGTGTTTAGCGGATACCACGCTTCTCAGAAGAGTGACGGGAAATAGTATAGCGAATGCCGGCGTATACTACCCAAAGGTTTATTAAGAATGCCCTTGTGGGTACCAAGGAAGTGTGCTTACTATAGTTACCCCATGAGTGTTTTGAAAAGACTCTAAAAAGCCGCTCTTCAAGCTTTCGCTGTGACTGTGCTGCGCCTCCCGCACAGGCCTGAATTTTTTTAATTGAAAACTTCCTTTCTGAGTTATTGATACAATAAACAATGGCCCCATTTTGATTGGGACTGCTCGAAATGTTGAAGGTACTTGGGCGTGCTTCACGTTCCCGTGAAATTTACCCTAGTTTCGGTTTCTACTTTAGGCTATCTTTGAAGAAAAAAACACCCCGTATAAGCTGATCACTTCTGTAAGAACTGTAATTTGTGCGTGTTCACTTCATCTTTATACAGTCCTTGAAGATATCGAGGTGAACAGGGATGAGTAGTGAGCTACCTCTATAAACTGCGTATTGACTTTTCGTGCCTCGTGCATGCGTATACATCCACCGTTATCTTCAATATGTATGGCCTCAGCGTCTTTAATACTTATCGCTTAGCATTCAGGGTAAAACAACATCACCGTGTAACTCATTGAAGTAAACATTGAGCTGTGGTTTAGCGTGAGATAAAACTTTTACGATCATGGCTCACTCTGAAGATTTGACCTTTATTAGTAATGACAAAGGGCTAGCATGTAAACTGCCTTTCACACATGAATTGAAGATGACTCGAATGCGAAGACAATGAGTGAATATATGCTGACTTTGCAAACAGGTAATTCTATTAAAATAACATAGCGTGAACAAATCTTACTTCAACATGACAAGTACACGATCTATAGTGTTTCTAGGTAATATTTTTATATATAACGCTACCTAACTGACATTTTGATGACGGGGAAAAGATAATCAAAAAAAATTTCGACTTGCAAAAAGTCGATCCTTCAAAATAAATTAGGTTACAGCACTCGAGGCCTTACCTCCCCCCTGCTAAATGCGGCCGCATATCGCATTACGCAAGGCGAGGTATGAAAAAATGGAGCGTGTAAGAAGCCGGATCCGCCTACGAAACAGCGCAATATACGTCCGCTTATGTCAGTAGAGTTTATTCAAAAAGCCGTCAAAATCTTCGAGCTGCCACCTTAGCTTAGCTAAACACGATCACGCTATGTAGTGCAGAATCCCCGAATGTTTATGACATTCTTCGCCCTCAGTCACTATGCATGCCGTATTCGCGATCTTCCGAAAGAAGACTAGAGAAAGCTAACAAAAAAAAAAAATGAGCGTTTCGTTGCGAAATGTCGTACAACGTAGTTTCCCGCTGCAGCAGGTTCTGCGAATAGTGTCAAACGATGGCGCTGCTTCATTTAATGTTTTGAAAAGAGTTACTTTCCTGTCGAAGTTGACAGCAGATATATATATACATATATATATATATATATATATATATATATATATATATATGGTGGGGTGATATTCAATGAATCCGGTGGAAAATGCAGTATAAAAAGAGGTCGACAAACGTGCGAAAAAACACTAGTTTTACTAACGTCTCGGCAGGTGGGCCTGCCTTCGTCGGAGTGATTCACTCCGACGAAGGCAGGCCCACCTGCCGAACGTTAGTAAAACTAGTGTTTTTTCGCACGTTTGTCGACCTCTTTTTATACTGTATATATATATATATATATATATATATATATATATATATATATATATATATATATATATATATATATATATATATATATATATATATATATATATATATATATATATATATATATATATATATATATCCTTGCTTGGTGGCATGTTAGTTGTTAGCGAATTTATTATTCGTATGGTTGTTTAGTGTCCTCGTTAGCAAGTTAGTGAATTAGTCTGTTAATTATTTAGCTAGTTGGCTAGCTAGCAATTTAGTCAGTTAATTAATAAGCTGGTTAGTTATATAGTCACTGCAATAAGTAAATAATAATTACCAACCGTTAAGTATTCAGGTAGTTAGTTAGTTGTTTGTTTGTTAACTAGTTAATTAATTAATTGATTATATTAATTATTCATTAATTAATTAATTAACCAGTTAATTAGTTAGTTAGTTAGTTAGTTAGTTAGTTAGTTAGTTAGTTAGTTAGTTAGTTAGTTAGTTAGTTAGTTAGTTAGTTAGTTAGTTAGTTAGTTAGTTAGTTAGTTAGTTAGTTAGACTACTTGCTTGTTATCAACAACTAACATGCCTTCACTTCGCTCTTACTACGAATGAAAGCACGAATCACTGGGAAAATGAGCGTGTGCTCACCGTGCAGATCGAGCTCGACCCAGCTGCGGATGGGCTGCTCGAGGGCCTCGTTGGTGGCGGTGCACTCGAAGCGCGAGCCGAGGTCCTGGCGGCTGAGGGGCGTCGCGAAAGTGGACGCCACGTCTCCCGCGCCGCGCTCGCCGCGGCTCTCGTCCACGGTGGCGGACAGCTGCAGGTCGCCCTTGTACCACGCCACCTTTGGGATGGGCTTGCCGCCGAACGTCTTGCACGTCAGGCTGAGCACGTCGCCCTCCTGCAGTGGTCCAACCGTGGCGCCACTCTCGAGTGTCTGCCCTTGCATCTCGATCACCGGCACACTCGGTTTGGCTGCGAAGACAAGGGGCGAGCACTTGTTAGCAAATGTTTCGTACCGTCATTGCTGGTGTACGGAGGACAAGAGCCCAGTCAAGCTGCGCAAGAGATGCTTTTTTGTTTCTGGTGTCCTATTTTCACCTTCACTGTATTCGGCTGTATTTACTGCACTGCGTTGTGCAGTGCGAAAACAATATTTGCTTGATCGATCGATCGATTGATTGATTGATTGATTGATTGATTGGAACGACTTATTGAATTCAAGTAATGAATAAGAGTACTCAGTGGTCTCGATGTGACCATCAGTGGACGGAGAAGAGAAGCATAAGATCATTACATCGTTTTGATGAGTAGGTGTCTTCGTCCGCAATTATTATTGGGACAAGTTTTCATATTAGTACACCAATAATGAGTTTGAGCCAAATGCGTTTAATTAATTAGACGATCCAACTTCGAAAAAGTGAAGCAAGCAAATGCCTAAATGTATCGTAGAATGAATTTTCAGTTTCAAAACCTCATTTAAGAGCATGGTAAATTATCACTTAGAACATACGCTCACAATTAAGAATGTTTGTCCATCGTATACCAAAAGGGCCGCATACAAACACCCGAAACACGATCTCCTCAAGCCCCCCCCCCCCCCGCCTTCTCTGATTTTTCCGTTTCATATGTTTATAAATACATAAAAAGGGCACTCGCGAACGTACATACACACGGTTAACACCTCCCTTCGCCTCTCAACCCCTTTTGTCCATGCCTTATGCGAGGCTAACATGGTGCCGGTTGTGAGTATAGATTGGAAGCCCATCAGCTCATTCTTAGCTGGCTCCCCGACTGTAAATACGCATCATTCGATCCTAATTTTGATTTTTTCTCAAAACTGTGTTTCTTCACAAATCTGGAGTGGCTGAAGATGTCACGAATATAGAAAATGGCAGCGAAGTGAGAAGCATCAACAGTTTTTGGTAATAAAAGCTGTTAAAACGCTGAGTTCATATTTTTTCTCTTCTTCCCTGCACCCAAGTATCGCAGAGGTGTTGAACACAGTTCTACAGTTAAGCAGTCCAGTAATCCGCCAGGTGGCAGCTGCCCCTATAAACGTCAGAGGTTATTTGCTCGTAGTGCTACTTCAGGAAAGCGGTAACGACAAAACTACATGATAAGATAAACAAAAAGGTGTAAGGAGAAGTATCATGTATTGGGCAAAAAAAATGACGTTTATATTCTATAAACAGAATGTCACTACACTACAAATATAAATTTGGACAACGTATATGCCGGCACACTGGTTTTCAGATGGCTGTTATTCACGTTACGCTTGAAGTTGCCGTTTTTACGCAGTCTTTGACAACATCCATCTTGCAGCCATTAGGTTTGCAGTGCGTTGCATCGCCGTCCATTAACAACACCAAAAGCGTGCCATCTTGCATAGTAACGGTATTTTTTCCTCTTTCTTGAAGTTTCTTAAGTATATGCATATTCTAAAGAGTGGCATATATACGGTAAAACTAGTTCCCCTGGAAATATAGAGATGCAACGCAGAATAAAGCGTCCTTGCCTGCGAAATTCAAAAATCTTAACGGCGCGTAGCAAGTATATTCCATTTATATAGCAGTAATTCATGCGTGGCGTTAAAACCAACCTCTCTCTATTGTTCCCACGCAGCCTTCCGCGGGCGTTTAAATGTCGGTGTGATTTCTGGTCACATTCTCGTCCATTCCGAGCATCAAATGCGCGTGCAGCACACCTTTCCGTATACATTCGCGCGGCATAAGCCTAATGGCCACCAAGCGGCGGCGCATTCTTTTCATTATTCTCTGTGATATATGGCCACTCGGTGCTCGCGAGAAGCGGCCGAAAAAAAAATGTGCGCGAAAGCGGCGCGTCCTTTTCAAGAGCAACATGAAGTGAACCGAGGGACAGCAGACCGCAGAACACATCCATAAAAAGGGGGATGCCAGTTCTGGATGCGGTCCATTTGTCTTCGAGACGGCGGTTCATTGGGGGTGCCGGCGTGGCAAGGCTGAGCCGCATGGGAGGCTTTAACGGCAATGCTTTCGCGGAGATGGCTCAGAGAGAATGCGCCTCGGTGTCACAAAATTTATAAACTACGTGTGTGGGAGGAAATGCTGGCGTAAAGATTCACCCACCCACCACTCCACCCCCTTCTCACTTTTATGTCACGTTTACGCGCATTGTTTTCCAGCCACTTCGCTGATTTGCTGTGGCAAACTTTCGTTCAGTGTCGCCTCGGCGTCCAGATAAGGATTGGGCCTTCCTATAAACTGTGATGGCGCGCTTGTGCTCCATATTTTTGTCTGTTTTCAGCCTCTCACCTTCGGCCTCTCCAACCCCGTTTTTTTATAAGGTAAGATATATTTTAAATGATTTCATTGCTTCAGGTAACCTCTTCGCATATTAGCTTGAATGTGTGTACCGCTTCTATCAACCGGCGCTCAATGGTCAAGATGATTGCGTCATATGTTTATTATATTTACCAATTAGCCTGAGTAATTCGTAAGTAATGCGACCTGTTCTTCAAACAATGAATCTTCAGGATCCTTTATAGGCAACAACTACACTAACTTTTAATAAACCCAACATAAAGTTAGAAAATAAACTTGCTTTACTCTTACAACAAGTTTAACAGTGAAACTTTTCACCAACATAATAAGATGCTGGAATCCGCCAAAACTAAAGCATTGAATTGTAATGGTCCTCCTATCTTTACGATGCCATATACACGAAAATCGGGCTACAGGAGCAAAGGCTGAAAAGACAGCGGAGGAACCTTCTTGAATAGAAAACGAACAACTTCAAAGCACCTCAACTTTTCGTTTCCCCGAAGATCACTTTGTCGCTAGATGACAATGAAAGTGGGGAAGAGGGTATACGAAGACCGCCTGGACGTGAAATGAAGTAACGACTCGTCAATGCTAAAAGGAAAATAAGAGGAAAGAAAGCGAAAGGGAGGCCAGAAACACGCAAAGAGAAACTTAACGATAGGCAGGACCAATTAGCTTCGTATAATTCTTGTTTCTTTGGTCCCGTTACTTTCACGATCTTTACGATAGCTCCGTGTCGCACGTCCACTGAGCTCCGTTCGACGGGTCAGAGAGGGTATTCGTGAGTGCCTGCGTTCGCATTATCTGCGGTCCGGGTTTCTCTTGGTCTTAATGAGCTGTGAGAAGGCCACAAATGAGCGCGAAATCTGAGTGGAAATCGGGATATGAAGATAAAATGCGCGCCGCTACCCTCCCGCTCTCACTCCTTTTTTATCCGAGAACAATCGCAGAATGCGAGGCAGTCGATCGCCCCTGAGTGCACCTCCAAAATGGAACCCGAGAATGATATCGGTCTTCGTTTAGTATTCGAGCTACCCGTTGTGTTACTTCCAATAAAAAAAAAGGGAAAGCGGAAGAAGGAGAAGACAAGCCGATTCGGCAGAAATTCTTCTCGCCGGTTATTGGAATTAACAATGCACGTACAGTGTGCGTTCTCTTTACAAGGAACAATCTGATTGAGGCCCCTTCCTGATCGGTAGCGCCAAATGGTCCGAATTGTCTTTCCGCCTGGCGTATCACTGGAGCACTAATGAAGAAGCAAGAGCCCTTTGTTGCTTTTGTTCTCGTTGTATTTCAGTTATTTCTGTTTAGTTTTTTTTTTTGCATCAGCACTTGTTCCTTTCAGCCATAACTTCGTCGTCTCCGTGCTTCTAAAATAGGCCGTATTTTTGTTGTTGTTTTTTCGTCTAAGACAGCCGTAGCTGTCTATCTGAAAGAGAGTGCCGAAAAGAAAAGTATTGTGCACAAATTTGCTGCGCTAATTTTAGTCCTTGGTATAGCGATGCGCGAAAGTTTTATCTTGAAAATAAAAAAAAACATTGTTGAACATTGCTTTATCTTCAGGCAGTGCTGTTTTGGGTCATCTTCATTTGCTAACGGCTTTCTGGAAATATCTCCATCCTCACTGAGCTTTCATTTTACTAACAATAGGCAATCGTGTGGCAATAACTAAGCAAATTGTCGCCCGGTATCCTACATAAAAAAAGAGCTATGCGTTTTTGTGTTTGTCGAATGTTCTTGCTTCGTTATTTATTGCAAGAACAGTGAGACTCACAGGTCTCTTGCACTCTGTGTGTCAACTTGTTTTCTCGACAGTTTCATCGTAGACGCAACCTTTTTTTGTCCTTTCATGCAGAACCGGCAAGCCTCAACTGAAAGCCCTTCAAAGCTCGTAGATCACAAGCTCGGTATGTGAGCTATTTGTGATAGCACACTAATCCATCTGACAGAACATAACACTGTGAAGTGATTTCTGCGTAAATATTCGTGAGTGGCAAAGGTTCATGCTCAAACAAAATTTTTAAGTTTTTTTTATTGAAGCCCACTGTTACAAAGCTAAGCAACTCAACGAAACTACAAAACAACTTCCATGTGCAACAATTGCACAGATGTCAATCTCAACATTGTTTTGTAAGCTCGTTTCATTACCATGCGTGTCATACGTAAAATACCTTCTATAATTAAAAACTGGATTTTTTTCTGGAGTGCAAAAAACCTCAATATACTGCACTTAGGAAAACCAGCAGTTATTCAGACAACGGTAACAGAAGCCTGCAACTCCTTACCAATAGGTTACAATGAACAAACAAACAAATGAACAAAAAATTACGATACTTCGCAGTAGTAGTGGCAAGCTTGAAAACAACAGCTGAGTTAAACGCCCTGTATCGTTTTTTCTTAGTGTGAAGCATTTCTTTGCGTACTGCAAGCACTTTTCTCCTCTATCTGCATATTTATCTATCTTTCTATCTATCTAACCACCTACATTTGAGTGCTCTCGTGATCATTCCCTTGACTAGTGGTAAACAAAATTAGTATGGAAGGGTAAGATGGTTTGACGAATACGACTTGCTGGCCATGGTATGAATAATGTCTCAATCCCGTCATCTACGTTGTCAAACACATTCCACTAAACAGTGATTCATACCCGCGGGCGGGTATGTGCCACTTGTATGCGGGTACGCGCCACAGGTTATTCAAAGTTCACACCTACTTAGGAATGGCGAGAACACACATGGGCCATTTTAACATGGGAGCGTTCAGAAAAAGCTGACATCGGCTGTGTTCACTCGACGTATGTAAAAAAAAATGTCAGGGTCCCAGCAAGAATCAACCACCAGAATTTTGCGTGGCAACCAAGCATTCCACCTTAGAGCCACGCCAGATATCGCAACTGCTTTTCAAGTAGACTGTAATGTTCGTGAAGGTTCAATTTGGGATGCATAAATGGCTATACAGTTTTATAAACATTAAATATGTACTCCTATATACAGGCGTCACGTCGGGTTAAGATCAACTGTAGGTAAACCCAATGCATCGAATGTGATTGACCGTTTATATCAACCAAGGAAACGGGGCGAACAGACATTAGTAAATTTCATTCTAGAGGGTTAGGAATAATCAGTGCATCTCCATGAAGTGGATGACAACGAGTGGGCGAAGCTATAAGTCATAAGATCCATAACGTCTACGTTGAAGTCGCCGACCAGTAGAGGAAACAGACAGATGGACGGACAGACGTACGCAGGGATGGACGAACAGGCATATGGATGAACGGACGGCCGCACGGACAGACGTACGGTGCGAGTGATCATGTATGGTGCTATCGTATAGCTGATTACACATAAATTCGGTTGTTTACTGATACGTTTCCCCTGATCGTTGGGCAGGTGTTAAGTTTAGATTTCAGTTTTGTGGGGCGTGATGGTCACCAATCAGCCATAAGGAGCGTCACTTCTGAAAGCTGGCATCGCCAGCGCTGACCCAACGAACGCATAGAATAAACAAATATCATGGTTTCAGCAAAAATTGAACCCCAGCATTCTGCGTGTAAATCGCATATTCTACCACAGAGCCACGTTATATCAAAGAACTGCTTTTCATGTAAGCCGTAATGTTCGTGAAACGTCGATTGTGGTTGCAGTGCTGCTTATCTAATCTACTAAACACTACATACGTACTCCTAGAATAAAGCTTTCACGTCGGGTTAAGGAGAATTGTCGAATTGTCGTGAAGCGCTATCCACTCGAAGCTCATTTATCTATTGCCGTGTCCAGGGCCGCCATCCTCGATGGCAGAAGCGCGACATAAAACCGCTTCTCGTGTTGCTAATGCCCATGTTGCTGTTGGCATTTTTTCGCAGCAGTAAACACGCAACTGTTCAACATATGTCTGTGCGTACAACATTCTCGTATATCTTTAACGTTTTTACGCAACGTTTCGCTCAATAAAAAAATTTCAACACAGTCGCCTTCCCTCCGCATGCTTCACATAAAATTGATTCCCAAGGTGCGTGGGATCCAGCGATTTTTTTTTTTCTCTTTCTTACTCGGTCTCTATATTTCTTTTTCTCTCTGTATTTTCTATTTCTTTTTGTCTGTTTAAATTTTTCTATCTGTATCTATAGAGAGAGAAAAATGTCTACATCATCACGTGGACAAAGAACGTCTCCGACGCGTTGAAGAGCACCTACCTGCGTAGCAATGGTGTGGAAAAGCCACTCTATGAGCTTATTCGCTTTCCCACGTGTAGGGTAGCAAACTAGACGTACTCTAGTTAACCTCCTGAGCTTTCCTATACAAGTTCTGTCACTATCTCTACTCATTTCTTTTTTTTTCTCGCTCTATCTTTCGCTTCTTTTTTTATCTCTTTTTATCTTTCTTTTTCTCTCTCTTCCTGCCTTTTTTTGTTCTTCTATCTCTTTCTATGTCTCTGTTCGTATTTTTTCTATTTTTATATCTTTTTCTCAACTTTTTCTTCCTCTGTTGTTTCTCAGTTTATTTCTACCTCTTTCTTACTTTCTTTATGTACTTGTTCTCGCGCTCATCCAAGTTATTGCACGCTATGCCGGACAAAACGGCGCTCTTTTTCTGGGAGCGAAGGAGAAGATGAAAAATATGATGAAGCGAGTACGTGCTGGCCGTGTCATTACGTTGCACGCACTAAGTCTCAAGGCAGAGTCTGCTCATGAGGATGATATTTCCTGTTCACGCCCAATGGAGTTTTTCCGAGCATAAGCAACGTTGTAGCCACCATTAATTTGTACGTTCTAGAATTCGAGCACGTCACTTTGACAGCAGTCATAGCGTTTTTCAAATTAAAATATTCCAGTAATCCACCTAGGTTCATCAACGCTAAATGAGGGACACTTTATGGAAGTCACGACGGCACGCAGTCGTCCCTCGCTTCAACGCACTCACCCAGGGTGATGAGGTTGGCGTAGGAGAGGGAGGGGCACTTTCCCCTGACGTAGGTGACGTCGCATTTGTACTGGCCCTCGTCGGCCAATCGCAGCGGGAAGATCTCGAGCTGCGCTGTCGAGTTGCGCAGGAAGAAATCGGCCCGGTCCGGGTTGGCCAGCTCCTGGAGCGGCTTCTCCACGTCATTGCTGTACAGGTAGATGCGCTTCCACACGTCGGACACGTTCTTGGTCCACGTGATGAAGTAGACGTTCCCGCAGCGCTTCACGTCCACGTCACAGGGCAGCCGCACCGACTCACCCACCAGGCCAGTCACGGTCGTCTCCTGGCCTGCAAAGAGACCAGTGCTAGTGTTCAGAATAACGTCACAGACTATAGTGCTTTCAACGAGAAATAATTTTGCCGTTCAAGATTTTAGAAGAGGACCAGGATGAGAAGGGAAGAAAGCAAACACAGAGAGATGAACCAGACACCTAATCGGTTCACTGACCCCAATGAAGGGGAAGCAAGGAAGAGTTTGAAAGAGAGTGAAGAAGGTATTATCCGTGTACATGTGCGCCTGTCCAACACACTTCACATTTTTACGAGTGCTCTACCAGCCAGGTCGATTCTTAAAACAGTAATAAAGCACGTGTCGCTTTTTGTTCGGTTATGCCTAAGGCCACGGTCCCAGGATCTTTGCTTCCCAAAACGATCTGTCATAGCTTCTTCGGCGCATTGCGGCGAACCTCGCGTTCGGTCACAAAGTCATCAGGAAAACAGTATATGTTCTAACGTCACGTCATTATTGTACAGACAAAATCACATTTGTCTAGAGCGCTCAGCCACCCACTTCAGCTGCAGTTCTTTGCACAAATGTGCGAATACAGACGCTTTATTGATACCTTACAAACTGTCTGCTTACTAGGTTCTTGTGATATCATTAAAGCATAAACAGCACTTTGTAGCCGACGGGGAGTAGTAGCAGTGGATAAAAACAGCATCCACAGCCCACCGCTCCACCGCTCTATAGACACATGTGATTTTGTACGAGTTAGATTTGACTCATTATAAACGACACTGCCTGGCCAATGGTCAAGCACAATTACGAAAGCATGGATTCTGAAGTTCATCCCTTGTGCGCTAACGCCGTAAGCATTGTTCGTCCAGTTACGGCATTCATTCACATACAGTAAAAAAAAACAAAATGATGCCGCTTTCAATACAGTAATTATCTGGGCTTGTTGCTACAGAAACATAAAGGTTAGAAAACGAAAAGAACGTTAAACAAACACAAGCGCTCTCTGCTAATGAAGCAGTATGCGAGACGAGGCTAGTTGGTAGTTCATTTCCAAACAACAGCTTACCAGCCTTATTACTGGAATGCAAAACATACAGCAATTGATGACGCAGTAAAGGAGAAAAAAGTTTTATCTAGGAAAGATGGAAAAGTGGATCACTTGAAATTCGCATCTCTGGAAGTTGAACCCTCCTGGCTGTCGCTTGCTTGGAACCCTGAGTCAGTTCTTTTTTTTTTAAGTTTGTATCGCCTCCTCATCACACAATGCGAAAAAAAAAACGTAATATTACTAGTATTGAAATTACAATTATGCAGCGAACACTTCTAATAAAAAAGCGATCAACACAACAAAAAAAGGTGGTTCTCAATGTACACCACGCAAGAAACGCTCGAAATAGATTTCAAACGTAGCGTTATAGAAATCATTATTCTCAGAAACGTTCTCAGATCGCAATAAGAGCAAAAGGCAGAGATTGTTTTGAAATGAGCTCAGAGAATCGAGGTCACTGGAAGGACTTCAATGAAATAGTCATAGCGCTGGAAACAATACGAAAGCTTCGTGTGCCGTTCACGTGTCCTTTCTTCTCTTTCTTTTTTTCGACTGCGTCACGCAACAAATAAGGAAGAGACGACTATGATTGATCTCACGAACGAGTGTTCAACGATTCCCAAGACAGCTGTCGAAGAGCGTCTGACAAAGAAAGAGCTGCGAAGAGAAACGAAGAGAGAAAGCGTGGGGTGAAAAAAACAAGCGACGCAAAAAAAAACAAAGAACAGAAGGGGTCGAAAAGAAAGCCGTACTATTGGCCTTCGGGTCTGTGCGCTTCTTGCTTACTTTTACTAGCTTTTCCATTGGCGAGTTGAAACGTGGCCCGACAGAAGAATAAGGGAGAGGTTCTACCGGCAGCCGCTCGATACACTGTCTTCTCTCTTTTCTCCACTTCATTTTTTTCAGTGTCTCCCTCCCTCTTTTTGTAGATTACTTTGCAGTTGCGCTTTTGCTTTTTCATCTTTCCCACTTTGCCACGGTGTGCTGTTGCCGCGTGTCTTATTCCTCGCTCCGTAAACTGCAAAAAGTCGTTTTTTGGGGTGCTGCGAATTTGTCTTTGGATGATGAATGGCCGTGTCCGGCGCCTGATCACAACCTTCGAACCACCGGGTGCGACTCGCTCTCGCAACTAGCGACGCTCAAGATTAACGTCTTAAACTCACGCCCCTTCGATGCTTGTCGTCGTCTACCGCTTGATTCTCGAACTGCTCCGATTCTTTCTCTATTTATCGGTTGTTTCTCGATAGTTTGTGTTCGTCTCGTCTTACTCCTTTTTTTAATCTTCGTTTTTTGCTGATTTCATCAGTCTCTCCTTCTTTTTATCTATCTGGTTCAACGTTCATTGCTGCCTAACCGAAAAACAAAAAGAGAAGCGATCCGCCCAAGAGATGCCACGTGAGGCAGAAAATAAAGCCACGACATCAGTTTTCTCTCCTTCTATGTTGCTTACTTTCAGCACCTTAAAAACGATCAATTCCACAGGCTCAGAGCCTAATCCGTTGTCATTAAGAGGCCAATATTTGACCAGTGCTTCAGATTGAAATAAATGTGGATAAAGTAACCCGGTTATAAAAAGCATCAAGGAAATCATTAAAGAAAAGTTTAACCACGTTTTCTTTTTTTTATACCAAGTGCTTTAGGAATTTGGAAATTCAGTAAAGATGCCGGAAAATATACTAAATCTGCCACATAGTAGGTGCATATGAACATCCACTTTTTCCTCTTACACGCTTGAATTCATCTAGACGTTTATAAACCAAGCGTCAATGTTTGAAAGTTTGTTTGAGAATGCTCGAGAACTGCACATGTGAAATGTGGTGACAAAAAAATGTCTGACTGAATTGATGAAGACGTAAATACTTAATTTCTTCTACTTATTCAAATAACCTCCAGGATAGTTGCCTGAGCAATCCAAGTCGTATTCTAGGAAGTAGCACTGAACAAACCCGTGTGGTGCATGCGCAGTTTGGTGGCACAGGGCAGTGGTAAAGCATCCGTGTGAGATTATTACTACAGTTCATAAGCCTAATCGATCCTTCCACACGCTGAACAACGTGACATTAATGTGGCACGACAACTGAACGCACTCATGCACTGCGTTAGCCCTCTGGCTTGGTTGCCCAGCATACTGCAGGCCATGGCATCACTTCAGTGGGTGAATTCCTGATTGGGCCGTATGTATATGATCGGCCTTAAACACGTCCACATAAAGTGCCTACTGAATTTATTGCGTGGTCTTCAGGGTAATGACGTCATTTATATCCTGTGTGGATAGCCACTGGCCTTCGTCTTTTTTGAGAGTTTACACTGATGAGCTACAGGCCTATTTCATGTTTGTGAACAGTGGTAGGTTCCATCGGCATACTGGAGTGCTTGCTAGCGACGTCGCAGTGCGTAGGCTCCGCCCAGCCCAAAGAAAGCTCACCACCATTCTTTACAATCTAGTGACAACTGTCACAGATGCTGCAAAGCTGCCTCCGAGCACAACGCGTCAGGGAGCCCCCCGCACATCGCGACGCGTAGCTCCGCCCAGCCCAAAGCTAGCCACCACCTTTTATAATACCAACAAAGAGCCTTCCGCACGTGCGCGGGAGGATCTCTACCACGCTGCGCTCGGAGGCAGCTTTGCACTAGCTGTGTCAGTTGTCACTAGATCGTAAAGAATGGTGGCGAGCTTTGGGATGGGCGGAGCCTACGCGCCGCGACGTCTTTACAAGCACCCCAGTGCGGCGACAGCACCTACCCCTGTTTAGAAACATGGAGTTGGTCAATACCATGCTTTCATGCCTTTCATAAGCTACTTTACCTTTAATCCCTTCTTTGACCGTAATCTATAAGCCTTCTCTCCCGTGTACAGCGTGGTCGTCAAGAGCATTCAGGAAACTGCCGGCAAGTGCTCACCAGTTAAATTATTCTTTGAAACTGCTCCCAACAGACATGGAAGGGGCTGTTTCGAGTAATTGGTGCTCCCTACATTGGGAATCATAGTGCTTATTGAATCAAGCAAAAGTACACATACTCTAGATGTTTCTTTTTTTGGAACTGAATTTCGGCATTTTAGGAAATGGCACCTTCATAAATATTTGTTTTTGAAAAATCCTCTCATCAACGCCTTGACGATATAGATTTTAATCAAAGTGCGCTTTGTATTCGTGCTCAGAATGATTAATCAGTACTTATGCACTAAGTTTATCCCTGATGGCTCCAGTGTAAAAAAATTTTATTTTTTTCTATAGCAGCAACATGAAGAGGCTAAAATGACCCTTTTATTCTCCGTATTTTCATACGAGATTGCTTAAGAATGTATATCCGATGATTACCCCGTCCTAGTAGGTGTGCTCGCATAGAGCAAGTTCGTAATTAGGTCGATCGAATATGGTCATGACCACTGCCGATATTAAAAGTGTGTTATAAACATTAACTGTTTTTAGCCATTATCACTATTCTAATCTGCAAGTTCAGCCCCCATTTAAACTTTGCAGAAAAGAAGTTGCTGACCGTTCGAAAGCGCCCTTCCCAGATATGTTCGTTAGTATATATCTCCTATTTGCCTCTCTTCCTTTATCTCTCTCTATTTTATTTCTTGAAAATTTTTCCCTGTATTCACTCATATATTAGTGCAGTGTGGTAAGAGATATGTTCTGGTCCGGTTACCATCTTTGATGTATCTATTCTTTAATCCCCTTTCTATTGTAAAATAGGTCTGCACCATTGCGAAATAATACTTTTCTGGTGGTATCTACTGTTCAAGTTTACGGTTTCGTTTATTACAGAACGAACACATGAAAATACCCATATAAATGGTATGCGAACGTTTTCCCTCCACCCGACGTTGTTTTCTGCGATTCTGCTTTTCTAGTGAAATCAAGTTCCCAGGCAAAAAAATGTAACAAAATACTGCGTCGAAAAAACAATGGCCTGCCGAAGGGCCTTGCGGATTTAGGGCATCGCATCAACGGCAGCAGGCGCGGAGGCATTTGGCGCGCCTCCAAAGTATCAAGG